TACAGAATATCTACAAAGTAACAGATCCGGTATCACTATATATATATAAGATACACTCAATTATTCTAACCTTTACACAAAAGTTATATTAAGGCAATTTTTTCCACGGACACACTACTGGTTGAACAAGGGACACTGGGATAATACTGTAATTACATACACTTCAGGTTACAAAGTTACTCTGGGAATAAATCAATCAAGAACCTATTATTATCATTATTATTATTATTCCTTTGCGTTCGAAGTGGGACATAGGGATAGCTTCAATAACACATCTCCACTTCGTCCTGTTTTCCGCCGTCCTCTTCAGTTGGATCCATGATTGACCAAACTCTCTCTCTCATTTATATCCGAAAGAAAACACAGAGATGGATCATGAGGACCTTGAATGCAATCCAAGGGGAAAAGGAGAAAACAAGGACGAGTCTGGTGAGTTTCCAAGTGTAATTTTCAGGAGGAGATTACAGCTTATGACTGACTGGTTTCAACGTAGAACTTTTCACAGATATCCAGCAGTTCGAGTTGCCACACTCCGTCAGTGTAGCACACAAAGCAAGAGAAGAGAGTAAGGAGAGATTTAAAAGAGAGATAGTAAACTGAAATATAAGGCAAAAAATATTAATATCGAAGAACGATATAGTGTTATTGGGTCTGTCTGTCTGGATTCAACATAGAACTTGGCACCGAAGTGCACCAGTTCGAGTTGCCACGTTCCAAATAGCACACAGAGGTAGACAAGAAGATGAGTGGAGAGAATTAATAGAGTTTGACAAATATAGGAGTGAAACAGAATGGGTAATGGTAGAAAGGAATATGAAAGATTACAGAGATTGAATACATCTGCGCCATTGACAACGATTTTGAGCCATGTCACCTATTGTCTCCAGCCATTGATTCCTAGAGTCCCGAGGGCCCCAACCCGGGAGTCTGCATCTCCCTACCTGACTCAGTTTAACTGTCAAGGATTTCATGGATTGATGCCATGTTTTTGTTTGGCCACCACAGCTTATGAGGAGTAATGGTGGAGTCAGCTAAACAGGACTGAAGAGAACAGGACAAAATGGACACATGTTGTCGTTATTGAATCCACGTGCTCCACTCAGAAACCAAGGGAATAATAATAGCAACATAAAATTCAATTATAGAAAGGCAAATCAGTTGAATCATGATTTTTCCAAACTAAACAACTAATGAATACAGAGCACCCATATAACTGAACAGAACTTATTTACACTTGATGATAACAATGTTCTATTTCAAAGATGCTAAAGGTTATTTTCTATCTACCAAATAAATCTTCAAAGTGCGGTGAGTATAAGCATATTATAATAATGGTTCTCTAACTGATATCGATCTGTGATCAACTCGTAATTACACAACTAATCTTTACAAACCAACTATAGAAAATTAATCTGATGCTCGCTAGTCAATGACTTGCTACAGGACGGAGTTAACTGGAGTTCTAGTGAGAAGTCGTGACCACTGAGGTCCATTCAGATGCCAAGTGTGAGGATGGATGTCCCACCGATGACATTGGCTGGGGTCACGCTAAATCACGAATTGGTAAGAGTTAGAATTCCTGGGCTGGCCATTGAATCGGGTCCTAGTGGCTGAATCGTATACGAGCCAGGTTGCCTTGTAATCGGAAGGTCCTAGGGTTCAAATCCCATTGGTAGGTGCATCCTGCTGATGATTCCCAAATTAGAACCACAGAAACAGCTGTCCAGTACTCCCTGTGGGCTGGTTTTCAATGGTTCTCTCTAACTGATATCAATCCGTGATCAACTCATAAAAACAAAATTGATCCTTACCAACCAACTACAGAAAATAATGGTAATAACAATAATAAAGTACTCGATTCCATACAGAAAGGACCATCGTCTTAAACGATACAACCAGTTTACTTACTTACTGTATAAAAACAAAACAAAACGAAAAGGAGCACATTGCTTACCGTATATTCGTTTGCCAATTATTATAATTGAGGAGTTAAATCAAATTACAAATTCCAAAGTGTGCATTTCGCATTACACACATATACACACACAGAGGGAGGGAGAGTCACAGTATCGAAAAATGATCTGATCCGATATGATATGAGAGCACTACAACTACTATGTGTGCATACGGACTAACTCACTAGATCACTCGCTCATAATCACAAACCACTGCATCAAATAAATACTGCTTAACAAACATTCCATACACATGTGTATGTCTGTCTGTCTATCTATCTGTTTGTGTGTGTGTGTGTCTACAATCTTTCTTTTCTATAATAGTTCGCTTACAAAGCGTCACAGATACTGTTATTTCAACTCAAATCAATATGATTCATGTCACTTAAGAATGTGATACATACATATACAGTGATTACGAAACATATATATATATATGCATCCTGACACACAGCGCACAAATACAACTCCATGACATGTGAGAGCACAATACAGAAGTTTATTGTTATTGTTGTTATATTGATACGTGTGCCATGTACTACGTACTATAAACCACTACTCACAAGTTCATTCAAAGTCAAAATATAGCACAATTTACTAACAATAACCATTTAAAGGCTGAAGTGTCACCACCACTAAGATAAATCGAAATGAATATTGAAGAACATGCAGTAGAACACGCACACACACACACACACACACACACACATGAGCACAAACACACGTGATATGCCATCATGTATTATGAGAACAGAGAGAAAGGGTCAACTACTAAAACGTTGTTTGCATAAATAATAAAAAAGAATCATCATAATTTATACACACGCTTTCAACTCTGCATATTTTTCTTTTTTTTTATCAAGACATACATTGGTGATGATGATGTCGAATGGAATAGAAATCAATGAGATATACATACCCTGAATATGTATAGTATACATCCCCTCCCCGCCCCATCATAATACATCGAATATCAAATTATTAATCAAGAGGTAGGTGTGTGTACGGGATTTATGATAATCAAGATAATAAACTATGCGTCAGATGTGTTTCAACACCGGTGTTTACTCTAGAGCTAATCAAATGTATTCAGGGGGCATCAGTGGATGGATGGTTTGTCCTACCACTTTGGAGGATACCCTTCACCATCGGTAGTTAGGGATTGAACTCTGGAAATTCAGGTTATGAGACTAACCTCTGGTTGATCATTCATTCATTGAGTACGTCAGTCAGTCAGTCACTTACTTAGACTGGTATTCGATGACATCCCTCAGTTCTGGTCATTGCCTTCCTCAACCGACAGGCAATGCTACCTAACACAGGATTGATCAGGTTGGAAAAGAGTCAGTGGTGGTCAAACCAAAACCAACATGGCTTCATCAGTCAATGAAATCCACAACAGTTAGTTTAAGCCAGTCAGCCAGTCACGTAGGAAGGTGTATACTTCCTGACTGGTTGGGGTCGTCGCGGCGGTAAACACCAATGATCGCTGGAGACAGTTGTTGATATGGCTCATAGTCGTCGTTGTCAATGGCTGACCGAGCATGCATCCACTCCTTGTGACTTATAATACCTAATAATAAAACTATATTGTTCTTCGATATTACTATTCCTTTTGTCTCATATCTCTGTTTATAGTCCATATTTCGCATTTCGTTTTACTGTCTTCTCTTACTTTGTTGGGTACATGGAGGGAGAGTGGCGACTCGAAATGCTGCACATCGATGCAAAAACCTCTACGTTGAAACCAGTCAGTCTTACTTTGTAAACCCCGACAGATGATTGCTACTTCGATGTGGTGGTCGCTCCAGCTTGCATATCTCAATGACCCAACACGTAACAATGACTGGAAGTAATGTTCCTGCAGATCCTACCAAGCCAGGAAGGTTTTTAAGATAGTGATTAGATTCAAAGCATTTACCGACATAGTGACAGCTTCTTTTTACACTATGCTATGGAATGGGGATGCAACAACAGTAAGGTGTTTCCCTCAGAAGGCCAGCATATCTCCATTCTGGAGAGAGGAAGTTAGAAAAGGTCGACCGTAAAATTGTACATCCCGACCTACTCTACAGTAGTCTACAGTAGCAGCGTATTTGTGTGTGTGACTGACCGGCCCTCAAGCAGTTGTCGCCTTGGTTGCATGGTCACGCAACACTAATATTCTCTCTCTGTTCCAGGTAGCCATTGACAGAAGTTAGAATTCATGAGTCATTGGATCGAGTCCCAGTGACTTAATGGTATTCGAGCTCCCCTTGTGACCAGAAGGTCCTGGGTTCGAATCACAGTGGATGCGTAGTGATGAAGAGTCCCAAACTAGGCTGACGAAACAGCTGTCCAGTACCTCCAGGTATTCCTGTCAAAAACCACAGGATGAAGCGGATGACCAAAAAGTTGACTGACTGACTGGTTTCAGCCTAGAACTCATCACAGATGTTCAGCGGTTCGAGTCGACACTCCCCCACCACACACAAAGCAAAAGAAGAGATTTATGAGGTATTCAAAAGAGAGATAGGGGAAAAAGAACAGGAATATGAGAAACGATAGTTGTATAGGATATGAAAAATCACAAACAGCGAATGCATTTGCGCCATTCATAACAAGGATTTTGAGTCATATCAACAATTGTCTCCTAGCCTTCATAGGTTTTCGCCATTCCGAGGACTCCAACCAGTCAGGAAGTGTACACCTCCCTACGTCGCTGGCTGGCTTAAACTAACTGTTATGGATTTCATTAACTGATGAAACCATGTTGCTTTCAGTTTGACCACCACTAGCTAACTCTTTTTCAACCTGACCCATCCAATGTCAACTAAAATTGACAGTCGGCCAAGACAATAGCTAGAGATACGAAACACACAAGTCCTAACCACTTCACAACCTCGTCAATTGATTCCCCCACCCATCCACCTTACCAAACATCTAGCATTCGATGCTTAACCTCAATATTTCTCAACTTAATATACGACATAACACGGGAGATAGAGAAACAAACACCAGCGATCAAAGACTGCTAACCATTTCATTACACAACAGTAAACGTACCTCTTATCATTTTTAACAATTTCTGAACATATCTGACTAGTGGAAGAAAAGTTGCGTGTTTGCATTAAAGCAGACGCATCCTGAGCAGTTGTTTGTTGAATAGTAGCTGTGGCATGTTTAGCTTGAAATGCGCCATCACCATCAACATCATCGACTTTGACATGATCAAATATTAGAACAGATTCAGTTGGATACCTGACTGATACATTATCATTTTTTACTTCTTCTTCGTTATGATCACCGTCAGTAGTTTTGTGTGAAATATCTGTACAAAATCTATCAGTAGTAGGCGGAGACTGAGGAGGGGGAGGCAGCGCCGGAGAAATCGACAGTGAAACAGAACTTGGTGGCTTCAATACTTCACAGTTGACGATTATTTCTTTGTTCTCCTTGTTAGACAAAGAAGCATTTACATCTGGCAAAGGTGAGATCGCCTTAATTTCATCCAGTGAACTATTTGATGGAGACGCCTCAGCCACAACAGGTGTGTTACGCGAAGAGACATCGCCGTCATCATCATCATCATCATCTAGATCCAGTTGATTCAATTCATCATCAGTATCCTGTGGTGAAACCAACTCTTCAGCTACTGAAATTAAGGTATCCGGTTCAGTTTCTTCCTCTTTTGTTGTTGTTGTTGTTGTAGGCGTAGCTGTCGGCGTGGTCAACTGATCATCATCTGGGATAGTCTGACTACCACCAGATGCAGGAATTTTATCAAGTATTTGCATGGAACATGAGATATTATTTTCATTGGAATTACCATCATCATTTAGTGTTAGATTATTATGCACAGATTTTGATAGTGAAATGCCAGACAAATTATCAGCTGTAGTAATAATTAAATTATTATTTATTGATTTTGAATGTGAATAATCACCAGATTCATTACAAATTGATGCTTTACACACGTCTAAATCAGCTTTGATATTTGCAATAATCTCTGTGCATAACTGAGAAGCAGAAGAAAAAGAAGAAAAAACGAAAATAAAAAACAGTTTTCAGACTGACTGACTGACTGGTTTCAACATTGAACTTTGCATCAATGTGCAGCAGTTCAAGTCGCCACACTCCCTCCATGTACCCAACAAAGCAACAGAAGACAATAAAAAGAAATGCAAAATAAAGACAGTAAACAGAGATATGAGACAAAAGGAATAGTAATATCGAAGAACAATATAGGTTTTATTGGGTATTATAAGTCACAAGGAGTGGATGCATCTCCTCCATAATTAACAATGAGGATTTTGAACCATATCGCCAATTATCTACACCGATCATTAGTATTTACCGTCCCGAGAACCCCAACGAGTCAGGAAGTGTACACCTCCCTACGTCGCTGGCTGACTGGCTTAAACTAACTGTTGTGGATTTCATTGACTGATGAAGCGATGTTGGTTTTGGTTTGACCACCACAGACTCTTTTCCAACCTGATCAATCCTGTGTAGGTAACATTGCCTGTCGGTTGAGGAAAGCGATGGCTAGGCGTGCTTAACACATGTCCTCACCGTCTCAATCGATGCAGCAACTTCACAGCCTCGGGTTTATTGATTTCCCCTCCCCCGCCTTACCTAGCCTAGCATTCGAAGCCTAACCTCAGTATTGCTCAGCCTATTATACTACTTCACACGTGAGATAGAACGCAGACAGGCACCTATGATCAAAGACAGTCAAGTAAAGGTCGGTAATAAACCTTCTATCGAAACAACCATTATCGAAAGCTGAAGAACAACTTCTTCAGAAAGGACTCAACTACAATACTGGTGACGCTTCAGTAACAGATTTCTGTGCTTCATTAGAATCATCATTCAAATTATCAAAATTAAATGAGGAAGTACAACAAGAAATACGTCAATGTATCATACCTATACTCAAACAGAAAAGACATAATTCCCAACTTAGCACTGAAGAGCGAAACGCATTGAAGAAACTAAAGAACAGAAAAGATATAGTTATAGTTATTCTACCGGCTGATAAAGGAAGAACAACAGTAATCCTGGACAAAGAAGACTACATAAAGAAAACAGAGGATTTACTCTAAGATAATAATGTATGTCAACAGTTGACGAAAAACCATATACAAGCATTCGATAACATATCAGAACAACGTTAAATAAATTAACAAAATCAGGACAAATTACAGAACAAGATCAATGGCGAATGAAATCTAACGGATCTATTTTACCCCGATTCTATGATAGACCAAAACTACACAAACCAGACATTCCCTTACGACCAATCGTTTCGCTTCCAGGAACACCAACATATAATCTATCTAAAGAACTTTTCAGGAAGTTAAATCACCTAACAGAATCATGTGACCATTGTATCAATTCGTCAATCCAATTTTTAGGGAAAATCAAAAACATTCAGGTAGAAGACAATGAAATAATGGTGTCCTTTGATGTCACAGCATTAATATATTTCAATTAGTCCAAAATTAGCAACAGAAACTATGCAACAATTACTCTATAGTGATGAAAACATAAAAACGCAATATTCAACTTGGGTAGAACTCATAAAATTATGCCTTACAACATACTTCCAATTCAATACTCAAATATATGAGCAAATAAAGGGAAAACCAATGGGATCGCCCATATCAGGATTAATAGCTGAAGCCGTCATGGAAAGATTAGAATTAATAGCTCTACCTATAATTAAACCGAAAATCTGGGTACGTTACGTTGATGATACATCTGTAATAATTAAGAGAGAATATACCCATAAATTAATAAACGACATATTTGAAGACATCAAATTCACGAGAGAAGAAGAATTAGATAACAAAATCCTCTTTTTAGATGTCTTAATCAGGAGAACCAACACAGGAAATTAAGAAACACAAGTATATAGAAAATCAACGCACACAGATCAAATACTCAACTATACTAGCAATAATCCAATTATTCAAAAAAGAAACTGTGTGCAGACATTGTTTAAAAGGATTCGAACACACTGTAGCACTCAAGAGTTGAAAAGAATGGAAGAAAAATACTTACAAATGGTCTTCAAGAAGAATGGTTATCCACGAAATTTCATCAAAAAGTGTTTAAAGTCGAATCAAAACACCAACAAAGAACCATCACCAAAGACCAAAAAAAAATCATCCTACAATACATGAAAAATATCTTTGAAATAACGGCTAGAATGATGAAACCGTTTGATATAGATGTAGCACACAAACCAGTCGAATCGCTTAATTCGATCTTATGCAAACCAAAAGATCCAACAGAAAAAGGAGATAAAATTAACACCATTTACAAAATAAATTGTATGAACTGTAACAGGGATTGCATCGGTCAAAGTGGGCGTCCCCTTCGAATCGGAATCCCAGAACATCAATCAGCCGTGAAACGATATGATATATATTCTTTCATATTAATGTATATAAACAATTATGAACATCAGTTTGATTGGTATAATGTCAGAATCTTAGACAGAGGAAACACCAAAAGTGCAGTCAGAGAGTTCCTAGAAGCCTGGAGTACTCAAACGAATATGCAATGAAAAAAGCACGTTAATATAGACCAAATACATCAAATGATAAAAAGTAAATCAGGTGACCAGAAAGTTTAAAATCCAAGTCAATAGAAAATGATGAATACATATGTAAAGATGGTTATCGGGAGATGCAATTATATCACTCATGAAGAAATTTAAATCATTTCACTTTATCCTAAATACTGCGCTGAAGATGTCGCCCAGAAAGACGACGAAAGCTCTGCAACTAAACCAACCAGCTCAGAGAACACTATTAATTGGAAATATATTATGCTTTACTTTTATTGTTAACAATGATACATAAGAGATGCCTGTCGCAGAATACATAAGCATAATGGTGATATACTTTTGCAGTGAAACACTTAATAGACGCCTTTCAAACGCTGAACACACACACAGTGAGATCAATGAATATATACATAAGACAGTTGTAATAATATAACTCCTAATAAGCACAAACAAAACAAGCGACAACAGTTCAGTTTGGCAAAAATACTCGCCAACTTCTTACAGCAACCTGTTTAAATCACTAAGGCTACCAGAATTTCCATTCAGTAAAAGGGGTTCTGTTTAAATTCCTCTGCATTTCCTATTGTTTTAATCGTATGCAATTATATCAAATGACCATTGTATGAACTCGTAAACATATTCTCATTTAGCTTTCAATAAAATGCTGTACAACTCTTGGAAGAAATGACGAGGAAATCTATTTGAAGTATTGGTTTGTAGGGATTTGATTGATTAAGTAATAGGATTTCATCATTAAATCGACATTGGTTAGAGAATCATAGGAATATCCGGGAGTACTGGATGGCTATTTGTCTCGTCCTAGTTGTTTTGGGACTTTTCATCAGAACGCACCCACCGGGTTCTCTCTCAACATATGCAGTAAAGCTACGTTTCACATGATATACTTCGGATTATTACTTTACAAGTAAATGTTGTATGACGGGGGGGGTGATACTTTGGAACTAAATACGCTGAAAATTTCTGTGATGCATGTCCATATACTGTCTGAAATACGACTTCAATATTATCATTAACCATGCCCCTTTTGGTCACGGATTCAGCTCCCCCCCTCCCTCCTTGTAGGGTGCACTCCTTAAACCTAGCTTAGCCGGTGGAGGACAACAGTAATCGATAGAGACCACAATCTAATGCATGCTGATAAGCTCTCTAACTCTAATCTTCATTGCAAGTATCACTCTACCTTAATCCTACCCTAACACCTTAACACAATGAGTTAGGATGAAACCAACAACAGAGATTATGAAAAACACCAATTTGTAAGGCTGAGTGATATGATTGGTTGGCTCAGTTATCACTTGACTATGGTGTCCATTGTCAACTGTTGCCGCCCGTAGTAGTAATCCCGGTAAAGAGGGGAGGTTGGACGTGAGACTGGCAACCCCCCACCCCTGCAAAGTTCAATCTGGAAACCACTCAGAATGCGACAAAATCAAATAGTAACAAATTAATAAATAAATACGTTGAAATTTACCTGTCTGTGTTTTAACAGTGTGGATTCCAGTCTGGCTAAACGATCCTTATGCACACGTTTATACTCTAGATTGATACGAGAAAGAATACTTTCTTGTTTCTTTAAATTAGAATTCAACGCTTGAATTCGTGATTCTAATTCACTTAGATCTGAATGTGAATTAGCAGACATTGTTGAGAAGGGTTCATCATCTGCACCAACACCACTAACATACATACGACCTTCATCATCCAGGGAATCAGTTGAATTCGGGACAGTAACACGCTTTCGACGACCAGAATCATGAGAATTAGAACGCTGACGTAAATGCCGGGAACTGGGTGTCATAGTACGATCTAATGGAGAACCAATTTCACAAGGCAACAGACGTCGTAAAGTTGGTGTAGTTTCAACTATAACAAAAAGGTTGATAAGCTCCAATTAGTATTAATAATAATAATAACAATAATAATAATAATAAAATCAGAAAAATATATCTATGAGAAAACCCAACATAGTGAAATGAATACATCATCAATTGGTTGGAGGATTCCATCATGAGCTGACGTCAATTAGAGAACCATTGGCAAACCAGCAGGGAGTACTGGACAGCTGTTTTATCAGCCTTGTTTGGGAATCTTTATTAGGGCTGTTCGAACCCAGGACCTTCTGGTTACAAGGCGAGTTCGTAGATCATTGAGCCACTGGAACCCGATCCAATGGCCAATCCATGAATTCTAACTTCGAATCCTGGTCGGTGCGTACCGATGAAGAGTCTCATACCACGATGAAACAGCTTTCCAGTAGTCCCTGCGAGTTTTCAGTGGTTCCTTTACTGATGCCAGCTCATGATGAAATCCTCCAACCAAAATCAAACAAAACTCCCCACAAAGAAACCAGTACTTCAAAATACATGTTCACCAAATCCGAAACACGAGGATTACCAGTGGCTATCAACCCCAACCCCCGATCAATATATTGCGTAGAATTTCTCCTGTTCACCTTGTTTTAATCAATTCAAATATAACCTTTAATGGTATTATTATAATTTACCCTCGCGAGTATTTTGAGTGTTTACAGTCGGATGATTCAGAAGTTTCCGCTAAATTTGATAAAAACCATAATTGTAAAGGACAGAGTATCCAAATACTTGAGAGATAACTGTTCCTGAGTTATGTCATTGGGTTTGAAAATCTACTCCTGAACGTTTCACCGAAGTTAATTTGTGTATGGTGGCTAGCAGTGGAATCCAGGATGCACATTTCGTCCTATTTGGAACTCGTCATCCTGATGGCCCTTCATTTCCCAGTGAGTGATGATGTTCCCACAGAGGTTCGAACCCAGTGTCCACAGTCTCAAACGCCAGTGTTATCCACTAGAGCCTCGGTGGGAACATCATCACTCACTGTGGAATGCAGGCACATCCAGCTGATGAGTCTCAAATAGGACGAAATGCCGTTTATCCTGGATTGGACTGCCAGCCACCATCCACAAATTAAATTTCAATTAAATGCCCAGACATCGTCGAAGCATCTCCACAAGAAGCAGACATATCAGCCTGAGACCGAGCACTTCGGTCCAATCAATCGACGGTAAAATCTTAAATTCAATTAAGTTTAACCTAATCTTGTGCATTTCTGTAAGGAGACAAGGAAGAGATGTCATAATGGATTGATTTTCGCTTCAGGTTAGACAGTACCAGCATGTTGTTAGGCGATCGATCTACTGTCAGTCAAATTAATATATGTTACTCTTAAGATCGTTGACGAAGAACAAAAATAGCATGCAATGAACTTCGATGAAAATTCTGTACATTATATAAACACTGTCCAGTATGAGGCGATTAATGTTACTATTATTATAGAATATAAAAAGAGACATTTTCTTATGCTAAAACTAATAATTCACCACAAAGAGTATAGCACTAATATTTCACTAAGGGTATAAATTACTGTGTTAAGAATATGATGCTCGCAAATAATCTCGAGGACCCCAATTTGTCAGGAAGTTTACAACTTCCTAAACGACTGGCTGGCTTAAACTAACTGTTGTGGATTCCATTAACTGATGAAGCCATGTTTGTTTTGGTTTGACCACCGCTGGCTCTTCCCAACCTGACCCTATATCAGCTTATATTGCCCATTGTCTAATCACTATCCTAACAAACTTCCTGGCATGGGGTAGGACCTGCAGGAACATTAATTCCAGCCAGTGTACCGTGTAGGGTCATTGAGATATGCAAGCTGGAGCGACCACCACATCGAAGTAGCAATCATCTGTCGGGGTTTACAAAGTAAGACTGACTGGTTTCAACGTAGAGGTTTTTGCATCGATGTGCAGCATTTCGAGTCGCCACTCTCCCTCCATGTACCCAACAAAGCAACAGAAGACAGTGGAAGAGATGCAAACTAGAGACAGTAAGCAGGGATCTGAGACAAAAGGAATAGTAATATCGAAGAACAATATAGTTTTATTATTGGGTATTATAAGTCACAAGGAGTGGATGCATGTTCGGTCAGCCATTGACAACGACGACTATGAGCCATATCAACAACTGTCTCCAGCGAACATTGGTTTTTACCATCCTGAGGACCTCAACCAGTCAGGAAGTATACACCTTCTTACGTGACTGACTGCGGATTCCATTGATAGAAGCCGGATACGACGTCTACGCCAAAGATGATGTAGGTTGGTAAAAGTCATACGAGACTTTTATATTCCTGATGAGATTTCGTCAGCCATCATTCGGTATAAAGTACAATCCCGGGATGGGGATGGTAGTCTGCTCTCACATTCCCCAACTGAATTATTTCGGGGAAGAAGACAATGATGGCATAATGTATAAAATTATTTCATCAAAAGCATATAATAAAATTAATCAAACACAAAAAAAAAATAGAAAGAGGCAAATACCTGCATTATCAACTTTAGAAATACTATTCCCGGTGCTTTTTGATCCTCGACCAATGTCAGCAATTTCAATGCTTAGATGAAGTGATGACGGTATTTCATTTTGTTGAGTCGACTTCGATTGATGCATGTCAACCACTGAACGGTGAGAATTAAACCTTGTAGAATGTGAAGCAGCTGCAGTGGCGGCAGATCGACAGGAATCTGAATCTGATTTACAGAATTGAATATCTGTTGCACTAGAGATTGTTCGTGCACTTGAACTGTCAGAAGTAGTATTCACGCTGTTGAAAAGGTTAGATACCAAAGAAATATTATGCAGAGATTCAACGGAATCAACTTCAAACAATAGTTATTAAGACACGGTTTTATAAAAAAAAATAATAAATAAAAAGTAATTCAAAGAATTCGAAAAGAGATACACCTTATAAAGGCATTTTTGAGGAATAGAGGACAGAAAGAAATGTTAATGACGAACTACAAACCCACTTGATCATATATATATCTCCAGATGGGATAGTCATCACGACAATGAGGATCAGTGGTTGAAGCACTCCTGGTAACACAAAGCCGTTTCGTAAAACCATTTAGACTCTGAAAATTTTTAATTTAATTTTAATTTTTTTTTAAATTTTATTATAGCTTGACTCCACAAAGTATTTTTGGTACAGGTATGAAATTTTCAGCATGTGATATCGGTAGCCCAAATTTTTCAGGCCGACCATAGATATCAGGTGTGTGTCGGCAGGGGATAGAACCTCGGACCATGTGCATGGTCGGCGAGCGTTACTAACCACTGTGCCACCGACGTTCACTCAATGGCTCTCTAGTAGGAACGGAATTTCAACACTGCATGAAAACAGTTGAAAACCAAACTCAAAAATATAGTGAATAACACGCATTGCGAAATCTTACTCAAAACATCTAAACAGTCGGGTTCATCAAATGCGAATTTAACAAACCTAAAACTAATCAAAACTAAAAAGTTCAACAGAGGGTAATGGAATAAAAAATATCCTGCTAGAGAAAAAGAATCCACCAGTGAAATACCGTCAAACTATCGATAAAACAACAAAATGGGTAATTACCACCTCTCGACAAGAGCCTTAAGTTCTCCTTTATGGCTGTGAGTGAGACATGACCACTGGAAGTGGAAGATTTGATCATACGTGTCTCCGTCTTAGCTCCCATGTTAGGTGGTATAATATATATATATATATATATATATATATATATATATATATATATATATATATTGAGGCTTGGATTCGGTCGAGTGTTAGATAATAAAGAAGGAAAATCAATCCATGAGGTTGTGAAACAGCTGCATCGATTGAGATGGTTAGGACATGTGTTACTTATGTCTGGCCATCACCTTCCTCCCCCAACAATGTTAGCTAACATAGAATGGATCAGGTTGGAAAAGAGCTAGTGGTGGTCAAACTAAAACATGGATTCATCAGTCAGTGAAATCAATAACAGTTAGTTTAAGCCAAGTAGAGGGGGGGTATAGGATGCTTGATTTCTTGGGGTCCCCAGGGTGGTACGAACCAGTGGTTGGAGACAGTTGCTGACATAGTCCAAAATTCTTATCAATTGCAGTGCAGATGCATTCACTTTTTGTGATTTATAATATCCAATGAAATTCCATTGTTTTTCTATATTACTATTCTTTTCTTATTACTCGAACTGCTGCACATCTATGCAGAGTTCGATGTTGAAAACAAGTTAGTCAGTCAGTCTCTTTTAACCACAATATTTCACAGTAACTCTAGAATTGATGTCACAAGTTTGCCTTGAAAATTTAAAATATCTGAAGGTTTCGTACAATTATTTGCGAAATTATTCACGAACTACTCATTAGTAAGATAATCAAAATACCTTCAATTTTACATTCAAATGTGAATTTCAGCAAAATTCAAAATTGACGCACAATCATAAGGTGAATCATCCTTCTTAGATGTTCCGCTTACACGAAGATTGGATGGAAGCGCATAAAAAGCAATCCACCGCAAGGCAAAATGGAATGGACAGCTGACAAAAGATCACTGTTTTGTCCCAATGAGCAGAAAAAGAAACCGCATTGCTTCTCTTACGACGAGAATCTACCGTTTAATGCACTGAAGATGTATTGAATAAGAAGTCGGAATCCTTTAGAGAAACTCTAATCAGAAATCAATATCCAACCTCTTTCATCAATAAACATCTAAAGATAAAGACCCATGCCAGAAAAGATCAGCAACAGGGATCTCTGGGAGCGAACCAATCAGGAACCGATTGTGAAACAAATAGGCAGAAAGAAATGGAGATGGATTGGCCATACGCTGAGGAAACCATCAAGTGACATCACTAGACAAGCCCTCGAGTGGAACCCGAAAGGGAGGCGGCGAGTTGGTCGTCCAAGGGTGACTTGGAGGAGGTCATGTGAAGAGGAGATGAAAGCATGTGGGCAGACCTGGAGCAGGGTGAAAAAGTTGTCAGAAAACCGAAGTCAATGGAGGTGCGCAGCTGAAGCCCTATGTTCCTCTAGGAACTAAAGGATACAATAATAATAATAATAATAATAATACAATTTTGTTTATTATACATGTTGATGTCTGTTTCATGACTCATGATTGGACAGAGTTTTTAAAAAGCAAGACATGTTCTTTTTATATATACACCTCTGTTATGTTAATTTCGATGTTAATTTCCCTGAAGAAGTTCGGACCAGATTGACGAACACAAGAAACGTTGGAATTAATCATTTCAATCTCACTGAGATTTTACAAATATAGTTTTTTTCCAAATGTCTACTTCTCACTCGGCGCCCAAATATCTTAGAACTATTCTATCAAATCTTGACGACAGTTCATCTGAATTATTTTGCAATCGAAATAAATTAACAAAGAAACTGTGTAATTGGCACAATCATCGTGTTTTCACTCTCCGATGTCGGCAACCAAATGCACATCCTAAATCCGTAGCTGCCCAGTCACCTGACAACTCCAATAGGTCGAATAAAGCAGCTCAATTTTCAGAAAGAAGACAAAGTAATAAGTTTGACAGGGTGCTTCAACTAAACTCTAATCCTAAACACCATAATTTTTAAAATGCGTCTAATCACAAAATTCTAGATACTAACAGTTTTAACAGACACGAAGGTGTGATGTTAGCTGATGCATAAGAAATCCTGATTAATAAATAAGAATAGATATGTATCATTAATTACTAATACTTGGTCGAAATTCCCGATTGTATATATTTTCTTATGGAGACATTAACAAATGTTTTACAACTGTTTACCCACACACACACATACACATACACACACTGGATTTAAAGTGTTTAACAAAGGTAGACCAATACATGTTAGTCCGAGATCAAGTTTGGATCACAGCTCATACAGTTTTGTTTACTATACTTTTTGATGCCTGTTTCATGACTCATGATTGGACAAAGTTTTTAAAAACAAGAGATGTTCCTTTTATATATAAACCTCTTTTACGTTAATTTCGATGTTAATTTCCCTGAAGAAGATTGAACCAGATTGACGAACACAAGAAACGTTGGAATTAATCATTTCAATTTCACTGAGATTTTACAAATATAATTTTATAAATGTAGTATAATAGTGTTCAAAAGTCACTAAAGAAGCTAACTATGATTAGTGGGAGGGAGAAATACTACAATGTCTACACTAAATTCATCAGGACACGAGGAATATCAATTTCCAGTAGATGAAATACTGAAATCCTTTGTAAAATGATGAAAAATCATTCATTTCAACAGTAGGACTTACTTTATTTGACTGCCGCCTCCCAATGACACAGAAACACTTTTCCCCAATGATGCAGTAGGAAATGCTTCAGATAACTGTTCATCCTTTGCGCCATTTGATAGTTTCACATCATCAGTATAAGGTATATAATTGGTACTTTGTTTCACTGTAGAATGTGTTGTACTCGGTCTCCTATTATAACTATTATTATTATTATGCTTAGAATCACTGATTGTCTTTGACCATTGAGCTGATTTTGAACATTTACCTGACTTGCTACTGTTGTTCGATGAGGCGTGAGAGAATTCTGTGTATCGATTTGTGCTGAGAGTTGAACGTTTACTTTGAATTGCCTGTACATCATCAAAGTGAAAAAACAAAATATATTTCTGCGCTAAGAATGCATACTTTTATTGGTAAAAGTAATAATAATAGTAATAATAAACTTCTGAGGAGGCATAAGTTTACGTCTAAGACGGACATTATAAAACATTCCGAGAGCAAAATCCCATTTTTGGACGCCTTAGTCAAGCGAATAACCACAGGGGAATTAGAAACTCAAGTTAGCAGAAAATCAATTCACACAGACCAAATACTGAATTACAACAGTAACAATCCAATAACATACAAAAGGAATTGTATACAAACACTATTCAAGAGAGCCAGGCAAGACTCATTGCAGCACTTCCACCTTAAGAAAAATAGAAGAAAGATATCTGATGGATATCTTCCAAAAGAATGGATATCCACAGAATTTCATCAAAAATCATATATATATATATATATATATGATGACATCGAGGAAGCTTATAGGGGAATCGTGAAGTCAGATGAAAGGGATTGCAGAGAAGAGAAAATAAATAGCCGTATGCTTTTAGAGCCCTGTGCTCCACTCAGAAGTCAAGAGAATAGCAATAATAATAATATTTATGCTAATGATCATTTTGAATGCCTTATTAAAATGCGTTACTATAGCAACTGAACATAAACACTTTAGTGACAAAATAATGTTTTTTTCTCTTTCACAGACGAGAATTATTAGTCTGTGAAATGAAAATTCCTAGCTCTTAACATGTACTCCACCCCCCAGGACTTCGTCAGTACACATTAATCTTGCACATAAAATATTTGCACTTCTAACCGTTTTTTACGAGCTCGATATTACCGTGTGCCTACTTTAAAAGGAAAAACACTGTGTGACATTTAAGTGAGAACCAATTCAATGTTTTCACTGGAACCGAATACTTATGTTAACCTTCAACGGAACCAAACAGTATACAGTCTCACTATGTAGTGCAACGACATGTTTAGTGGATCGAATAATGTGTGGAGAGTCAATCGTACCCGGACAATTAAACAGAAATAAGTGAGACGGTCGATGTATTCCCTGCTGTTCCCAGTGGGGCTTCAAGCTTCAGTTACAGTGACTTTATTTCTACGGGGCGAGGTTGCTAATCTCATATCTGAACTTCCTAACTTGAGTGAGTACTCCCTCACTGATCACCTTATTCTCAATAGATAAATACTGCCAGAAACAGAGACAATGTGTCACGCAGAGTTATATAACTGTCATCTAACTGCAGGTTGTTAACACCAACAAACAAAAATATTTTTTTTAAACTTACAATTAAAGCTTCACGTTCTAGTCGAACAACTTCTGCTTCTTCCAGTTCTAAATTTTTCGACAGAGCCAACAGTTCCTCAGCTTTCTTTCGTCGAGATTGTAAAGCAGCTACACGCTTATTCAAAACACTACAATAGTAAACAAATAATAAAGCCCTTATAGGCTACTACAGCATATGAATCATACACATGAACAGACCTCAATGCATCACTACATAAGTCAGCTTTTAGACATACATACTTAAATGTGTGTCAAAATAAGGCGATTAACGATTGATGAGCAGCTAATAAGAATACATAAAATGAAATAATTATTGTTTAACACTTACTTTCTAACTGTCTGAATCAGCTAACAAGCTTGATCTCGGAACCTGAAAGTCCCAGGTTGGATCCCGAGCCAGGGAGAGCTGTGTGTGTGCACCGTTGAAAAGTCCCAAACTAACAGGAAATATATGTCGAATACTCACCCCCCGACACACACACACACACTTGGTTTCCAATGATCTCTCTAAATGACGTTGGTTCTTGACGAAATCTACGCCGAAATTAATTCAGACCTCCACAGAATCTTAGACTAGGCCGACAGCTGTATCACCCAGTTCGGGACACCACCAGCGCGCACCCACCGACCAGGATTCGAAACCACGACCTGTCGGTGACAAGTCAAGCTTGTAGACCATTAAGCCACTGGGACCCGATCGAATGGCCGGTACATCAATTCTCACTACTATCAATTTGTGATTTTGGTGCGACTCCTAGCTAGCCAATGTCATTAGTGACAAGTGTTTGTCGTCACACCAAACCTGCTGAACCCCACCGGTCACAACTCCTCACTAGAACTCCGGAAGACTTCATCCTGTAGGCTGTTCATTAGTGATCAACTTGAAACAAATCTAATTCCTACAAACTAATCGTTGAAAAATGATTTGTATTCATCTGATACTCAATGATAGATAGGACAACAAGAATAATAGATAATTGAATAAAAGGGGAGGTGAAAGTGTGTGGTGGGTACACCCAGCCGGTTTCCCAATGGCTCTCTCTAGCCGGTGTCAGCACATGATAACACCCCCTGTAACCAATCAGACCTTTGCAAACCAACACTTGAAAAAAAACGTTTAGGCACATTGAGCGACAATCTACACATTTAGAACATCGAGACAATTGACCTGAACACTCTGACTTATGTACAACAAACAACGTGGAACACTTTAGAATCTAATTGACTGAAGACGGAGGAACCTCCAAAAGAAAATAATAATAATAATAACTTACTACTTCACTTGATTGAATTCGTCACTTCTCTCCTGTTGGCATGAATTATCCAATGACGCTGAGTATAGATTTAAAGTAGGAATATTTATTGGTTTGGCATGTGGTCTTTCATTGTGCTGCATCGATCGTTTCGATTTCCTCCGTTTACTGTGTCCTTCATCATTATTATTATTATTTAGCTTTTTAGAGAGACCGTCATCATCGTTTTTATTACATTTTATGAAGCCATTGTCTTCTCTTCTGAAATCCACCATTTGTGCAATTTCTTGAGGACCAGACTGAAATGATATGTATAAAGAGAAAGCATATAGTATTTCATCTTAAATAACACTTGACTTCAAAAAGCTACAATAATAATAATAACAGTGACAGTAGGATTGGTAATGTAGACTTTCTGTCGTCATTATTACGGTAATTTATAGCAAAATACTGTATATGAACTGGATTCAAGCTGATAACTAACGAAGTAAAACTCGACTACCTACCTACCTAGTTCATTACTTTCAAATGCATTGTTTAGGAGAACAGATAGGCCGGTAAACCCGTGTGATTTAATCGACTCACCACCTCTCATCATAACAGGAGTCCTTATTCTGTTAGTCAAAATAATCTAGTCAATATCCTAAACAGCGAAGACAGGACTTCAAATAAGCATAGGAAAAAAAGTGCAGGTGATGAAGATCACTCCCAATCACTCCCCACCCACCAACGACAGCAACAAATAGTACCAGTCATTATTAAATGAAAGACATTTCAAAAAGAAGTTGCCCCCACTCCACCCTACTTCAATTTATCTAGGCATTATCGTTTCAATAACAGGTAGGTAGCAGTGTTAATGATAACAAAAGCATAATCGGAAAGGTGACAGAGACCTTCATCACTCTGAAATCAGTTGGCGTAAATCTTCTGCATTGCACTCAAGCTTAACTTAGAATATGCTGACGATAAAGTCCTTCTAGGCGAGGACGCCGACAAAATGCAGTATAGTCTTCTGAACAACTTCAGACGCAATCTGCAAATGTTTGGCTTGCGATTCACTCCCGCCAAATGCAACATGATGTTACAGTAGTGAACTACACTGACTCCTAGTTTAGAAATAGGGAGTGAAGTGGTAGACCACGTTGACCGCTTCACTTATTTGGGAAGTACCATCAGCCGGTGCCAACATGTTGATGTCTGACGAAATCTCAATACGGATACAGAGGGCTAGTTTCGCATATGCCAGTTTACGCCGTCTCCCACGTAGACGTGATATCCAACTGTCGACCAAAGGGCGTGTGTACTACTCAGCGCAGCAGTTAGCTCCGTCCTCCTTTATGGCCAGCTGTGAGCGAGACATGGTCATTGAGAGTGGAGTACATGAAAAGATTACCTATATTCGATCATAGGTGCCTGCGCTCTATCTCCCGTGTGAAGTGGTATGATAACGTGAGCAATATTGAGACTAGTAGTCGAGTGCTAGGTAAGGAGGGGAAATCAATCGACGAGGCTGTTAAGTTAAACCGATTGAGATGGTTAGGACATGTGTTACGTATGCCCAGTCATCGCCTTCCTCAACGAGTAATGTTAGATGACATAGGGTCAGGCTAGAGAGAGAGACCTTGGCGGCCTGTTCGAATATTTGGGCCTGCTACCAAAATATCTACATTTTGCATCCAGTTTACTGTTTACCAGCATACATTTATCAACTTAATATGAATTCTAACAGAATCATTTACTCTCGTAACTTTATTAATGATTTACGACCAAATGACTTTCATATTCCAAAGAAACCAAGAAGGAAACATCGTAGTGGTTGGCAGAGAGCTCTCAAACGTACACCAATACACTTAACTACGGTCCCCGTCATAATGAACTCAAACTGTCGCTCTCTGCCAAATAAGATAATGTACCTACAATCCCTGATGTCAACTGATACGTATCATAACACCGCCATAATCGCATTACAAGAAACGTGGTTGCATGAACTGTATGATGACAACCTTATCTCACTAAAGGACTTTATTTTATTTCGTCAAGACCGTCAATGTTGTAATAAGAAAAATGGTGGTGGCGTTGCAACTTTTATTCACTCCAAATGGTCTGTCTCAAATAACGTCTGCTTCACCTTCTCAAATGACTTCATTGACTGTATTACTGTCAAATGTCGCCCCAAACACCTCCCCAAGTATAAACAATTCTATATTACAAACATGTACATTTCTCCTAGTTGCTCTCCATCTGATCTATCTAATTTTGCTGATGAATTCACCATGTTTGCTGCTGCCAACTTCGACAACTCTCTATCCGTTATTACTGGAGACTTCAACACATCGGATTGTTCCTTTCTTGAAGCTCTTGGTCACACAAACATAGTCAAATTTCCCACTCGACTTGACAAAACACTCGACTCGTTTTTACTAATGACGAAGGAGTATATGAAACACGTAGACGTTCACCGATACATAACTCCGATCACTGCATTGTCCGCGTTTTGCCAAAAATATACAGCAAAACACATATTAAAATCTTCTCACACCTGTCTACGAAAGCACAAGAAAGATGCTACACATCTGACAACTTACTCAATCTAAGATGCATGTTAAAAGATACCAACTGGGATCTATTCTATGAAAGTACATTAGATGACTCAATCACCAATATAATGGATTATCTTAAGTTCTGCCTCGACATATGCTGTCCCAAACAAACACTGTTCAAACGCCTCGACCGCTTCTCGTCTCCCCGTCTCAAACAACTTCGCAGGCAAAAAGAAATGTTATATAAATGCAAAGACAAGTTAGGACTTAAAAAGATTAATGCTCAAATCAAATCTGAAATCAAAAATCTTAATGCTATCTATAACCAAACACTTTTATCATGCAAATCTCCTAACAGCATGTGGAAACTTTTCAATGAAATTACTGGCAAAAGTAAGCGATGTAATGTTTTTCCCTCTTGTGATGTTAATGCTCTTAATCTGTCTTTTTTACGCTCTCCTTCTACTATAACCACTTCTAACGTTACCAATCTTGTAGCTGATAACTTCCAGGACTTCAATACTCTCGATGTTTTGAAATGTCTTAAAACTCTTAAGCCCTCACATAGTCTTGGCCCTGATAGCATACCTGCATATGTTCTAAAACAATGTGCAGATGCTTTATGTTCTCCTCTAACTAATATACTAAATGCTTCTTTCCGTGAAAACGTTGTACCTGTTCCATGGAAAGACATTAAAATAGTCCCTGTCCCTAAACCTGGAAATAGCAAGAACGTAAAGTTCAGACCCATCGCCATCACTTCCCCGTTTCTAAAGCTCATGGAAAAACTAGTACTTCTTAAACTCGAACCCTCCCTTAAAAGCTTCGAAGACCCCAAACAATTTGCCTACAGACAGGGTAGGAGTACTTTAGACGCTGCAGCCGTCTTACACAACAGTATTATCTCATCATTAGACAAAGGTGCCAAATATGTCCGCTGCACGTTTCTTGACTTTACTTCTGCTTTCGACTCTGTACCTAGAAGTCTCTTGCTAAATAAGCTCTCCATGACACAAACCGAGTCCTGGGTCACTAACTGGTTGCATTCCTACTTTTCAAACAGAATGCAGTACACCGTATACAAAGGCCAATCCTCCTCTGCTGTGCTCACAGAAGCTGGTGTCCCCCAAGGTGCTGTACTCTCCCCACTTCTCTTTTCTTTCTTTCTACATGACCTACCGTCTTCAAATGACATTAACTTTGTCAAATATGCTGATGACCTAACTGTATCTTTACCTGTCAAATGTCAAAGTGACTGCTCTAAACTAAATGGCTTCTTATCGGAAATTAGCCAATGGTCCAAGGAAAACGGTCTAACCTTAAACCCCTCCAAATGCCAAACAGTTAATTTCACCCTTAGGCATAAATCTGACCTAAACAAACTGGTTAGCACTCACGAGGTGTGCAACATAGATGGCAGTGAAATAGAAACCAAGTCGGAAATTAAATACCTAGGCGTCACTCTATCTTCTGATCTTTCCTGGTCGTCTCATATCTTGACGATTTCCAAGAAAATATACCGTCTTACCTTCTACATCAAGAAGTTAAGACATTCTGGTGTAACCCAACCCTTACTCCTACAATTTGTTAACTCCCGTATTCTGCCTATTATTCTCTATTGCTCCCCCTTAGTCTTTCCTGGGCTATTGAAGAAAGACTATACCTTATTACGTAGGATGTTAAAGGTTGTCAGCAGGGTAAGCAGCTTGCCACTTAGCCAGCTAGTTAATATTCTGGTGGACAGGCATATGGACTCATGTGAAAAATGGGCGAAATCCATTTTATCTGACTCACAACACCCTCTACATTCACAACTCTCCCCATGTATCTCTTCAGGGAAAACAAGAAGCCTATATAGGAAACTATATGCCCGCACTAGTAAGTACAAAAACTCATCCATACCCTACCTAGCTCGTGTTCTGTGCGATAAAGAATGCATCAGGCATGAAACCTTTAACTTATTAAATAGTCAGTAGAACCAATGGATCTCGTCTTTCCAACTCACATCATTTATAGGTACAACGTTTTCTCGCTCTTCATTCTGTATTTATTTTTGTTATGTGCTGTTTTGTTTCTCTCTTCCTTGCAAACTCTACTTAAAACATTCTTGTTCGTTCTTTCACACTCTGTATATCTCGACCATTTTGCTATCGCTTACGCCAGTAAATATGCTAGTAGTATCTACTTTTCTAACACCTTCAAACACTTTAATTTTGGCTTTGCTACCGACATACTAATATGTTGTTGAGATAACTTTAAACTATGTAGAACTTTATTTATTGTTAATGTAAAAAACTGGATGCAATATTGTAGTAAAATGCTGAGAATTCCATTCTGTATCACAAGTACTGATTTGGAATAAAGCTTATGTTATGTTATGTTAGAAAACAGCTAGCGACGGTCAAACCAAAACATGACTTCACCAGTCAATGATATCCACAGCAGTTAGTTTAAGCCACATAGGAAGGTGTAGACTTCCTGACTGGGGTTGGGGTCCTCTGGACGGTAAAAACCAATGGGTGGAGACAATTGGTGATATGGCTCAAGATCCTTCTCAGTGACTAGCGCACATGCATGCATCCAGTCCTTGTGACTTATGATTTCCAATGGAACTATATTTTTCTTCGTTATTACTATTCCTTTGTTTCACACCTGTGTTTACTGTCTCTATTATGCATTTCTTCTACTTTCTTCTCTTGCTTTGTGTGCTACATGGAGGGTGTGTGAGTGGAGACTTCAACTGGTGCACATCGGTGCAAAGTTCTATGTCGAAAACAGACAGACAGACAGACAACACTCAAACAGAAACAATTGAAAAAAACACGGACTATCAACACCGATGTTAAGTCAGTGAATGCTTCTATAAATATGCATCCGAAACTTGGCAGACGAGTCACGAAATCACCCACTTCCAAACAAAAATGTCACTAGATAACTTTTAACAAAAAATACCTTCACTGACTGCAGCATACTACACTGAATATCACATGGCTGGTCATAAAGAATTAGCCAATAAGAAAATCTGGGAACAAACCAACAAATATTTTGAAGAAGAAGTGAGAAAAGTGGGTCGGACACACACGCTGAGGAGACAGTCGGATGATATCACGCGCCAAAAATGGTGTCTAGTGGATCCCGAATGAGAAAAATAGAGCGACTTGGACATGTATCCCCGAGTTTGACAAGGAGGAGGTTGTGTGAAGAGATGAGATGAAAGACTACAGACAATCCTGAGGTCAGCTAATAACGGCCGAAGGATAACGAGACGAAATGGCGATGTGCTATCGTTGAAGCCCTATGCTCCAATCAAAACCCAAGGGAACAATGATAATATTATAGGAATAATAGATTGCCCAGTTGGTATAGAATAAGGTTACATAGCAAACATAGCAAAATAGAGTAAGTCAGCAACTACAAAAAATCCACCTACCTCGTGCTTTTTAACAGCATTACTAGACGTTATGCCTTTGGATGACATTGGTGTGGTGGCTGATCTCCCATTTACAGCAACTACACCACTAGCAGTGGAGGGACGGTATGAATCTCGCGAGGAATCTGAAGCAGTTATAACACTGGCTAGCGTCGATTTCACATCATCAGTATTTGAATTCCGCTTCTGACTACTACTTTCCATAGATGATGATACGTGTTTAGTTGTATCAGATTCTAAATAGAGGTGGGAAGAGAGAGAAAATCAAATAAATTAGGAGAGAGGTATCCTCGACACTTGGTGATCTATATCCTGATCGATAGCTGTCATACCTTGACGTCGTGGTCGCCCCGGCTTGCACATCGCAATGACCCACTAACAATCTATACTGGCTGGAATTATTGTTCCTGCAGGTCCTACAATGCCAGGAAGGTTGTTAAGATAGCGATTAGACTAAAAGTAGTTACTTTATGTCCGCCTACTCTATCGAACAGATGTAATTAAAAGTGCTAAAAATATTTGGCTGGACAAGTTAACTGACTACCTCTCATGAAATATTATTTTAACTAAAAAGTAAGGTATACACAGGCCATAGCGTTCCTCGACAGGAAATGTTAGCAGCTGGCATAGGATAGATCAGGTTTGAAAAGAGCTAGTGTTGATCAGACCAAAACATTTCACCAGTCAATGAAATCAATAACAGTTCGTTTAGGTCACGTGTAGGTCAGGTGTAGATTGTTTGGCTGGTTTGGGTTCTCAGGATACTAAGAATCAATGGCTGGAGACAATTGACGATATGGCTTAAAAAACCTCGTTCTCAATGGCCGCACAGATGCATTCACTCCTTGTGATTTATCATACCTAGTAAAACTACATTGTTTTTCCATGTTACTATTCTTTTGCTGTCACATTTCTGTATATTATTGTTCATTCTCTCCTTTTTGTCTTCCTTTGTGTGGAACATGGAGTGCAACAACTGGAACTGGTGTACTTCAGTGAAAAGATCTATTGTTGAAACCAGTCAGTCAGTCAATCAATGAACATAGAATAACCAAGCCAAATATATCCAATAATATAAATAATATTCAAGTTTTGATTTGCAAGGATTTGATTGGTTACAGGATTTCATCATGAGCTGACATCGGTTAGAGAACTATTGTGAAACCTGTGAACACTGGGTAGCTGTTTCGTCCTAACTTGGGACTCCTTATCAACTCACACCTAAACCAATGACATTGGCTGGCGGTCAAGCTATAGCTAAGAATTGGTAGAAGTTAGAAATCACGGGTTGGTTCATTGGATCAGCCCCCCCCCCCAACAGTGACTTAATAGTCTATGAGTTCGACTTGTATCCAGAAGGTCCTGGATTCGAATGCCGGTCAGCGGGTGAGGAATGATGAAGATTCCCAGATTAGGATGAAACGCCTGTCCAGTACTTCAAAGTTTCCCAATAGTTTTCTAACTGACGTCAGCTCATGATGAAAGTTAAATAGTAATCTCGAAAAGTGAATCGATAGAATATCACAAATTACTTGTCATATCACCACCGTCCTCATCATCGTCATAAGATGAAGCATCCGACAATGTTGCATTATTCATCGTTGACGATTTGTGTACACTTGTTTGATCTGAAATATTTGTTCGTACAGATGGTGATTCAGCGGTAGACCGACTACTGGATAAAGAATTCAAATGTGAAGTTTTCACACTAAGACGACGTTCAATCTAATCGAAAAGGAAGAGAGAGAGAAAAGTCAATTTCAGCTTTTAGAAAAAAGCTAAAGATTTTTAAACATTTGTATAATATTAGATAGTTGGAGGCAATCGGCCGCATGAAGCCTTTCTTCACCTAGGTTTAGTGCGAGTTGGCACTCATCAGTCGGCAAGGCGTATCTGCAGCCTTAGGGGAACTCAAGTCCCTTCTGAGATTCGAACCCGCGTCAACCAGTGCACTGCTGCAGTCAGAGACGTTACCACTGAGCTATTCAGGCTCGCGATTGACCTCCTGTAGGACTGTAGTGGGTATTTTTATTGAACACCAGTTACTTGTGCCCAATCAATGAATATTTTTCTCTTAAAAGCCGATAACTCTCTCTTTCCAAATGCTTGGAATGCAGGTATGTATGTATATATCCATATGACGAGTCCCAAAATAGGACAAAATGCGATGCATCCTTGGTGCCATTGCTACTCCAGTCACCCACTCACCAAATTACTACAAGTTGATCCTTGGACATGGGTTGGGGCATCCGCAGAAGGAACTGATATGCCGACAGAGATCGAACATTTCGGTCTAATCGTCATCATCCAACAGGGGAAGGTTAAAATCGGTTTAAAAAACGACTGATTTTTACATTTCACTATCAGATTCTCTGAAAAGGGAGATTTACTCATAGAGATAAGCGTTAAATTTAGAATTCTATGACTTGTAGTTATTATGAATGGTGATCGGCTTAAAATTCGGGCTACCGAAAGACTACAAATCAATATATTGCATATTAATTCTCTGAATCAGTTTGTTTTAATCCATTAAAGTATGACCACTGGCGAGTAATTTAAAACATTTACTACCTGCTGATTCGCCATTTTCTACTAAACATGAGAAAAAGTATAATCCTACATGGCAGCCTATCCCAAAACACAAGATAACCGTTCTTTGAGTAGTCTCCCTGACTCACAAAATGTATTCCTCAACAGATGTGATGAAGATTCCTGGCCAACAACAATCAGCCAGCATAAATGGGAGGAACCTGAAGGAAACAACCTCCTTCTCCTACCTGGGAAGTATCATTTCAACTACAGGCGGAACTGACGAGGATATCAAAGTCAAAATCGGAAAATCAAGGCAAGCTTTCATTTCTCTCAAGTGTCTGTGTGGAGGTCAACAGCACTCGGTATCAAAAATAACATTCGGATTTTCAACTCCAATGTGAAGTCAGTGCTACTATATGGATCAGACTTGGTGCGTCATAAAGAGCACCTCAAACAAACTACAGACCTTCATCAACAGCTGTCTTTGCTCAGTACTCAAGATCAGATGGCCAGCCAGAAAAGATCAGCAACAGGGATCTTTGGCAATGAGCGAACCAACACAGCAGGAACCGATTGTGAAACAAATCTGCAGGAAGAAATAAGGAGGATTGGCCATACACTCTGGAGAAACAATCAAGTGGTATCAGTAGACAAGCCATCGCTCGATTGGAACCCAAAAGAAGAAAGCGGCGAGTTGGTCGTCAATATGAAGGTGACTCGGAGGAGGTAATGTGAAGAGGCGATGAAAGCATGTGGTCAGACATGAAGCCAGGTGAAAACATTGGCAGAAAACCGAACGCAATGGAGACGTGCGGCTGAAGCCCTATGTTCCTCTAGATAGCTTTCAACCAAATGTCGTGCATTTCTCGAAGGAGACAATGAAGAGATCTCTGAATGGATTGATTGGTTTGCGCTTTAGGTCAGATAGAAATGTGTCACACAAACTACTGTCAGTCAATCAAATCTACTTTTATTTGAAGATCTTTGACGAAGAGAAAATATCATGATGCAATAAAATCCTCTGAAAATTCTGCACATTATACAAACATTGTTCAGAGTAAAGCTGTTACATAATAAATGCTGCTATCAGAGAACTGGTCTCTCCCACTAATATAAAATATACTGTGTGAAGGTAACCGACTCGAAAATATCAAAGCAAAAAGAGACTAGCGATTCAAAGACTGTTTTATTTCTTCATCATTGACAACGAAGCAGGACTCCAGAAATTACTGGCTACAACACAAGTTTCTGATCGTTTTGCTCTAATCTTCTGGCAAATTAGCGGATGAGTAGTACTTAGGCTACGGTCACAATTTTCGCCTCCCGCCGAAAAATGGAGATTTATTCGAATAAATAAACCACACCTTTTTTCATTCAATATCCAACGACAAAAGATTTAATAATTAAAAAAGAATACATTAACACATACCTTATCAAACTCTTCAGCAGCTTTAAGTACACCTTGGAACTGAGATGAATGTGCAGAAGAGATGAGATTGTTTGTCCCAGGATTGATTAATAATGTCCCAGATACTTGTGTTTCCTTCTCTGAAACCTGATCATTAGCTTTCGATGATATTTGAAGCTCACGAGCCTTGATTGAGATGTAAAAATTAGAGTGACAAGTTATAGTTGGAAAAAACTTATCTGATACAGTGAATAATAAATCGATAAAAAAAAATGTCATGCAGAAACAGCGCTGTACATACACACACATCTGTGCAAGTGTGAACGAAGATCCCCACAAAATAACTCTTCAAAATTAATCGCATGCTCACCAGTGAACGGAACTACTTGCAGTTCTGGTGATAAGTCGTAAACAGTGAAGTCCATCCAGTTGGAAGTGAATACAAATACTCGCCAGCGATGATACTGGCTGGTGTCAGTCGCGCTAAAATCACGAATTGGTAGGAGTTAGAATTCATAGGTTGGCCATTAATTGGATACCAGTAGCTGTATGGTCTGCCATCTCATTGGCCCTCTAACCGGAAATTCCTAGGTCTCGATATGATGGAGACGATTTTGAAGTGGTTGAGTTCTATGAGCTGGATAGTTAATTTGCTTTCATTGCCCTACTTGGCGACATCTTCAGCGCTCATACTTCAATTTGAATTGAAGTGAGCTTCTAGATTTCTCCACAAGTTTATTAGTCATCTCTCCTCGTAGGTGGCCTTGACCGTGATTGATTGTTTTTGTGTGTTTTCGCACCCTCTTGTATTGGAACTGATTGTTCCCTTGATTTAAACTTTGACGCTTTGTGTGCGAGGTTTCCTTCTTATCGGTTAGTAAATTTTGTCTACCTCCCTGTGTCTACTGATTGATGACTCAGTGGAATACCAGGTAGCCTTCTAAAAATTCTTCGACATTCTTGGTGTTTCCTCTGCCTAACAACATTTGAACGCTGGTTGTCCCAGTCGAATTGATGTCCACGGTTGACTGTATGCAGTGATATGAGCAAGAGAGTGGATGTAAGGTTATACAATTTATTGTAACAACTGATAAAAACACTACAGTGAGCAAAGTGGACGTCCCCTTCGCCTTTGTATCCGTGATCATGAAATAGCCGTCAAAAGACATGACATCCACCCCCTCATACATACATAGAAGCGCTTATTTCTTAAATCTAGATCCAGCTTACATTGTGGCTAGGAAAGATCAGCAACCAATCAGAACTGTTTATTACCCGCTGACTTAGTTAACCATAAATATGGCTGAAATGTAAAAATTTGGTATGATTTTCACCAATAAAAAAATTTTGTCACTAAGTCTTTTGCCTTCTCCCGTCACGCCATCATCAACATTTTCGCACATTACCAACTAAATAAACTCTTGCTAAAGACGACATTAAATGTATGACTTACAACTGCTGCCTTTGATCATAGGTGCCTGCGTTCTATTTCCCGTGTAAAGTGGCATAATAAGGTGAGCAACATGGAGGTTAGGCGTCGAGTTCTAGGTAAACAGGGGAAATCAATCGACGAAGTCGTGAAGTTACAAAGACTGAGATGGTTAGGACATGTGTTACGTATGCATACCTAGTCATCGCCTCCCTCGACGAGCAATGTTAGCGGATATAGGGTCAGGCTGGAAAAAAGCTAGCGGCGGTCAAACAAAAACTTGGCATCAGTCAATGAAATCCACAACAGTTGGTCTAAGCCACGTAGGAAGGTGTAGACTTCCAGGCTGGGGTCCTCGGGACGGTAAAAATCTATGGTTGGAAACAATTGGTGACATGGCTCAAAACCGTTCTCAGTGACGCAGATGCATCCACTCCCTGTGACTTATGATCTCCAATGAAACTGTTTTGTTATTCTTTATTCTACTTTGTCTCACACCTCTGCTCACTGTTTCTATTATGCTTTTCTTGTACTTTCTTCTCTTGCTTCGCGTGCTACACGGAATGTGGCGACTTGAACTTCCGCACATTTGTGCAAAGTTCTATGTCGAAAACAGACAGACAGACAGACATGACTTACAACCGAGTGGACGGTAACTATAAAGTGTATTGAAAATAATACGAGTGTATAAAGTGCGTCGGTGGCAGGGCGGTACAATACTTGCCAATCACGCCTCATGTAGTTCGGGGTTCCATCCGCGGCCACAGACCCACTCATTTACCTCGCTAAACTAGTAATAAGACTGATGAAGAGTGGAGGTTGCGCATGAGGCTAGAGCAAGACCATCTCGCGAAAAATAAACGGCACCACTGCTACAGAATCTTCAAACCTCCAGCTTGAAGAGCCCTACATGTTCCACTAGTAACGTGAAGGAATAAAAAAATATTAAATAAGGGCAAATAAAACGGTTATTTGGCGTACAATCAATTCAACCCCAGGGAGAGTAAAGCTCCGCTTATAAACCAACCATCTCATAAACCTTAATTAATGGAACAAAAACGAACCTTTAACAATTGCGCTAAACTGACGCATTCAGCTTGAGCAGCAGTAATATGACGCAGTGATTCCATATCAGCAATATGTTGCATTGAACTAGCTAGTGTTTCCAGGTAGTTCATTTCAGCAGTTAACTGAAGATTGAGAGCAGCAGGAGGTAGTCTTGGCTGAGATGATGAATTGACAACTCCATTAGAGAAGAAATCATTTTTCTGATAATTCTTTGCTAAAGAACTACTCTCTGAACTTTGTCGATGCGGATCAGACTGACTGCTTGATTCCTTTTCTTCTGTGATAAACTCATGCGCCTTAGTTTTAATGGAATAGATTTTATGTGATTTTATACCGTGTTCTTTTGATTCAGTACACTCCACCTAGTGTGAGAAAGCATAAAAAATAGACATAATTAATAGTCAAGTTAACACAATGGATTTAGACTATTACTACCACGCCTAGTCCAAGTGGGTGAGAATGGTCTACGAGTTCGACTTCTAGCCAAAAGGTCCTGGGTTCAAGCCCATCGACCGATAGGGGCCAACTGCTGTAGTGTCCCAGACTAAGGCAAAACATCTGTCCAGTTATCTATTGGATGGCTTTGTGTGAGGCTGCGATTCAGCAGTACAAAGCTCGCAAGTCCTGCCCCACGTGTTCAGGGTTTTGATCCCAAACCGACGCACCGATAAATACATAGTAAGACCTGTAAAGATGGAAGACTGGGTATGACGCATCTCCCAACTTAGGTTATCTCTGGCATAGTCGTGATATCCGGTTATCGACCAATAACGTGTGTACTGCCCAGCAGAGATTCGCTCCATCATTCTCTATAGCTACGAGACATGACCATTGGAAGTGGAAGACATGAAACGCCTGTCTAGCTGTATTTCATCATGGGTGTTTACGTTCTATCTCCCATGTTAAGTGGTATAATAAGGTAGACGATATCGAGGTCAAGTTTCGGTCGAGTGTTAGGTTAGGTGAGGAAACTAATCAATGAAGTTGTGAAGCTATGTCAATGGGGATAACTAAGATATGTGTTACAACGTGACTAGCCATCGCCATCCTCGACAGTCAATTTTAGCTCACACAGGATTTATGAGGTTGAAATAGAACAAGTATAGGTTCAACCAAAACTTCTCAGCAATCCATGAAATTTTCTATTTTTGGTTTGTAAGAATTAGTCTTGTTTTCAGAAGTTGATCACGGATTGATAGAGAAGCATTGAAAACCAGGGACCACTGGACAGCTAACTGTTTCGTACTAGTTTGGGAATCATCGTCAGTACGCACTCACCTCACCTGGGTTCGAACGCAGGACCAACCGGTTAAAAGGCAAGCCCGTATGCCATTCAGCCACTGGGACCCGATTCAATGGCCAGCCCATGGATTCTAACCTCTAACAGTACGTGATTTAGCGCGACCACCAGCCAATGTCGTCAGTGAGACATCCATCTTCACACCTGACTGGATGGAGCTCACTGGTCACAGCTTCTCACTAGAACTCCAAGAAAATCCGTCCTGTAGCAAGTCACTAGAAAGCATCAGATTAATTTTCTATAGTTGATTTGTAAGGATTAGTTTTGTTCTGACAAGTTGATCACGGATTCGCAAACAAGGCTGATGAAACAGCTGTTCAAAACTTCCAGCTGGTTTTCTATGGTTTTCTAAATGATATCAATCTGTGATCAAGTACTCGTAAGATCCATGAAATCTTTGACAATTACCCAGCGTATGAAGCTGTAAACCTTCCTAGTTGAGGTCCTCGAGATGCTAGGAACCAATGAAGGCTGGAAATAATTTGTGTTATGGCTCAAAATCCTCCTTCTTAATGGCGTAGATATCCAATAAAATGCTATGATTGTTCCATATTACTTCCATATTATTTTCCCTCACTCACACTTCTTTTTATTACCTCTCCTTTGAATCTCTCTTTACTCTCTTCTCTTGATTTGTGTGCTACATGGAGGGAGTGTGACAACTCGAACTGGTGTGCAACATTGAAACCATCCCATCAAAATATACAAATAACTATTGCTACTGCTATAGAAACTTCAACACTCTAGCTCTATTTGGAACGTAAAGATATAAAATAAAATACCAAATAAACAACTAAGGACAGACTTACAGTCACCACTTGACTATTAATAGTCGTAGAAGTATTTGATGCAACATTGTGATCTGCAGTCCTCACATCATGCACAGGAGGTGAAGTTATCTTGGAACCATTTTTCGCATAACCAATTCCTGTCATCGTCCTCCTCTTCGAATGATTCGTTTGAAATCCAGAAGACGACTGTTGATGACTTCTGTTCTCTCTAAAAGACACATACACATACACAAATGCAGCGGAAATATTCATTCAGAGAACTATAAAACACCAAATAATTGAGCAAAGAATATCCTTCTCGATAATTTCTCCCTCATCTCGCTCTTCACTTATATATGCATGTTTATATACAGAGAACATTCTGGATTAGTAGTCAATAACAGTATTAGTGTTTTGTAAATAATATCACAATGTGTAAAGTAAGGTCAGTGGAATTACAGTTCATTAAATATGCTTTAATTATAACAATAAAGATATAATAGCAATTAGATTATCAACTAAAATAAGGAAGATTTCCACAAAAACTCGAGGATTATTCAAACCTAGATGGCCAAGGTAAGGACAATGTCTGAACTAGCTCCTTCTTTTGGACACATAAATTAGACATCTTAATGCAGATCACAACAGCCAGCCTCAACAATATGTAGTAGACGAACTCTCAAGGCGAAATTGAGATTTATTGGTATGCAGTGAATGACTTTGAAAGCCACCTTGGTTAACATCAATCTTGTGTTCTGTCGCATCCACAAGATGAGATAGAATAGCGCTACGAGTAGATTTTGTTTGTCCTTTACTTCGCCACTATGCAGGGTGATGTTCGGAAATCCGAGGAGAAACATGCCTAATTGTACGGCGTATGCAACCAACTGACTCACTCCACAGAAGCAGTTAAATTGGTAAATGCACAGGGAAGAGGCGAAATTAGGCATACCTATATGTTTATGTTTTAATAACTGTAAGAATATAAACTAAATACTATGCATAGTTGATAAATATCAAAAATAAATTTATTCCCAGTGACAATATGGCGTGTGCTACTGACACGATTTATAAGTAGTGTATAGATACGGCCGAAATTGAAGTCAACATTTTAAGTCAATGGCCATTGGCTGCATAGATAGTAATGCTTAATCCTCAAATCTGGACCTAGTTTACGTTGTGGTCAGGAAATAACCTCATTGGACAGCTTTCCTTCTCATTATCTAACCGTCCGGTCAATTGCCAACCACCAATCAGAAGAGTTTATTGTCCACTGACCTAGCCACCATTGAATGTGGTTAAAAATATGTTAAAAAGGATGCGTTGCTTCCCTAATAAAAAAGTTTGTTACCACTGTAATAGTCGAAAACATAAAACTTGGTAACGGGATGTTTATTTGAAAATCGATATCTCTATATATATCACGAAAAATACCCATTTATTCATAAGTAAAAGCACAGTTTTTCTGTTCAGCGAAGAAATATCTCTTTTCAACGACTTCATTTTCAATCTGTACAGTCATACTTATATTACAGGAAATGGTTATTAAGTGGCACTAAATAATTGCTCAGTCAATATACATATATATATATATATATATATATATATATATATATATATACGATAAGAATAACGGTAATTAAAATGTTACAAGGGGTACAGTTGAAGTGGATAAATTACAAAATTATTAAAGATTGTTCTATAAGTGAATAGATACCAAAAATATTTTTTACAGTCAAGCGTTGTCTAAAAATTTCTAAAAAATTAGGAGTACGATTACGATAAGAATAAAGATGTGAAGTGGAATGAATTCAAGTGGTAAAATAAAATAAAATAACAACTAGAAAGAGCCTTACTATGACCAAGGTAAAGAAAGGGGTTTGACGAAACGTTTTTGAACACATAATTTAGGTTTCTGTTTATGTATAGCCAAAGCTTCGGCTAAGCATAAGTGAAGAAAACGTAAACGTTTGAATCGATTTGATTTTGCCATGTAGATAATTTTGAAAGGTGAATCTTGTGGGGCTAAATGACCAGACTCTAACAGGTGATCACAAATAGACGACTTTTCAGTTCTACGTTCGCCTTTCATTAATCGAACCCGATAGTGTTCAGCTACATGTTTTCGGAGAGTACGCTTATAACGTCCAATATAATCAGCTCCACAGGAGCAGGTTAAAGAGTAAATACACATAGATGTGGACATAAGCGGTAATCTATCCTTAACGCATCGTCTTATCATATTTCACCTGGTAAAAACTAGTTACAAATAAGCTACAGAAAAAGTGCGTTTAACACATTTAGATAAACGATTTGTTAATCAATTCAGAAATGGTGTCACCTTTGAATTTTAATTATCGTCATTCTTACCCCTTGTATATGTATATTGACTGGGCAATTATTTAGTGCCACTTAATAACCTTTTCCTGTAATATAAGTACGACTGTACAGCTTGAAAATGAAGTCTTTGAAAAGAAATCTCTATATATAGCGAAACTATGTACACCTTATCTATCTGAAAATCGTCACTTGTTACACAGATCTTCTGTGTTGTGCTTGCTACTCTTCTGCTGTTGCTTCTGTCTTCCTGCTGCTGTACTTTTCACATGCATCCATGTTAGTCCATACCGTTTCAACTCCTCTTCACACGACCTCAACCATGTCACCCTTGCACTGACGTCCCACTCACCGCTTCTTTTTCAGGTTCCACTCGAGGGCCTGACGCGCGATGTCACCCAGCGGCCTCCTCAGCGAGCGAGTGTCCAATCCATCTCCACTTTCTCCTGCTTATTTGTTATTGTAGGGCGATTGGTTCTTGTTTTGTTTGTTCCCTCGCCTAGATTACTAGCTGGCTAGTTTTCTAGCCGGTCATAAGCCCGGATAAAGAGAGAGGGTTGGGGGGGCGTTGTTCTAGGAACTCCCCACCCCCCAAAACTTAACCAAATCGCTACAGAAACTTCACCGCACAAATATATATATACTACTGGTAAATATTATTAGTAACACAACGCTATACATACCACTTCTCTTATCTTGTCTTGTCTCATGACGACGACAACAACAACACTTACATATGTAACAGCTTTTGTTGACGTTTGTGTACCGATACAAAGCGTAAAGGATCAGCGTATATATGATTCCAGAATTCTTTTCTAGCGCATTCATTTTTCACAAAGTGGTTGACGCCAGCTGTATGAAGATGACGATCAGCAGCAGCAGCAGCATATCGAAAACTTGTACGAGGAGGCTCCGCAATCAAATCATCCTAAAAGGGGTGAAAATATTTACAGTATATATATATATATATATATATATATATATATATATATATATATATATATATATATATAATGTTAATGCCATAGAGTTACACCTCGAGAGCAAATTGTACTCGGTTATCAGAGTTACTGTTAAACCTTTCAAACACTATATGTAGAGGTTAGCATTAGAAATGAAACCACCAGACAACTAAATAAGTAGTAGAATAAATTATGTTCCAAAAATCTGTTTTTACTGTTTAAAAGAAAAAGCACTGGTTAAAATCTTAAAATATGAAGAATTGAGGTGTTTTGTTAGCTGACAATCGGTGTATGTGTGTGTGAGAGAGAGAGAGAGACTTACTCCTTGACTAGCAAAGCCTACAAACAAAACGAACAAGTGTACATAAAAATGACACACACTCATATTATACAACTTATGAATAAATAATTAGGCAGTAAAGAAAGAAAATATAAAGAAAACATAAAAATTTTAGTACTTTGCAGTACATAAATAGAATTTGTAATTACTAAAATAAACTGGAGAAAATATCCATAGTTTGTTTATTAGATATATCAAACACAGTGAGTGAAACAGTTATTATTATTATTTACTGGACGACAACGTTTCGAACAAAATTTACTGCTGTTCATAACCATTTCGTCAATTATAATCACACAACTTCTAAACTTGAGTTTTATAGTTTTCTTTGTCTGGATCTTCCAGATATCCGCCCGGGCAGGTGTTGAATCCTTACTATTACATGTGTTTGCAGTCGATTCGATAAACAAACCCTCTGTTATCAATCTCTCCCTCCACCCAGCTGTTACATTAGTTTTCAAAACTGTCATCTTATCCCATCCATCCTATTGTACGGTTGTGTATAATTGCATGTAGTGAGTGGTATAGCTGAACTATTCTCTAGATTTCTTATCTTATTCGGGTCAACCAATCTAGATTTTGCTAGATTTTTATGCTGCGCTAATCTGACTTACTAACCCCATTCTACTACTTTCACCTGTGTATTTGCCCTGACGGTCATTTCAGACAGAGTATTATATAAAGTAAATGGTTTTGTTTAATTGGCTGTTCCACAGGATCCTTTAACCAACAAAGCTTGTATCTATTTGGGTTTGTGTGTGGTTTGAATTCCGGTCACTTTTATTCCTGCCTTGTTAAAAATTCTGCGTTAGGTGGTTTCCGATGTTCCTTCTTGTATGGAATGACTACTGATGATTTAGATTCCTTATTGTTGCCGTTGTAGCTTTACTGTAGTAAAACAGGGACAGTCAGATTAGCCGAACATAAAATCCTAGCGAAATCTAAATTAGTTGACCCGAATAAGATAAGAAATCTAGAGAATAGTTCTGCTATATGACTGACCACATGCAATTACACACAACAATACAATAGGATGGATGGGATAAGATGAGAGCTTTAAAATCGAATATAACAACAGGGTGGAGGGAGAGATTTATAACTGACTGAGGCTTTGTTTATAGAATCAACTGAGAGAGGATACGTTTTGTTTTAAAGGCTCCATTGGCAGGATCCCGTTAACCGATAAAGCTTGTTTCTAATTGAGTTTGTGGGTGATTTGAATGCCAGTCACCTTTATTCTTGCCTTGTTAAGAATTATCCGCCGTAAGGTGGTTCCCAAGGTTCCTTCCTTATATGGAATTACTTACTACCACACAGTGCCCAAGTTTTACACATATATTACACATATTTGGAGAAAATATCACAAAACCTGATTTTACATATGCATAGAGCTGAATGTAATACATTAAAAAAAGAGGGAGTAAGGGAGGGACAAAACAACCAACCTTGATATCTTCAACAATACAGACATTATCTTCATCCAATTCAGATTCACTAGCCCCAACAGCTTCTAATCGTCTCCAAGAGTTGAATGATGGTTTTTTAATTACTTCATAATACGATGATGATAATGATGATGATAGTGAACTATTTTCATTATTATTATCAATATTGATGTGACAAAAGTCTTCATCTCCCGAGTAGGTATCACCGTCATCATCATTATCTGAGTCAACAATCATATGCTTTACACGTTGTGTACTCAACTTAATGTCTAAACGAGCAGCTTCAGTCGCATGATCACACAGCGCTGCTCGTGATCGATTTGAACAAGAAACACCGGGTTCTTTATGGTAGGATAACCTAAACGAAAGTAAATAATACAGAAAAAATATATAGTGAAGATACTAAAAGATTTATTAAATGAATTGTAAACTTTGAAAGTTCAAGTTGAATAGGCAGCACGATTAGGAAGGTTCATCTACGGGTTCGAGAACATTTACCAGCTTGGTTCAGCAAAAGGGGAAATTAAGTACATAAAAAGCCCCATCCGAAGTTGCTATCACGTACAGTTCGCTTACTTCTACACACAGAGCTGAAGCTGTTGCAATAACATCGACTAAACCGGAACTTTGTATCTAAAAAGAACACGTCCAGACGCTGTTCCTACCGTCACCAAACTTGGATCGACGATTCTTCTTCTGCTCACCAAGAGTGCTCCTTCCCCTTAACCATCTTCGTTTTTTTCCTTTGCTTTTTATTACAATTATTCGTCATAATTTATGCCCTTCATGAAAACGTTCTCTCAATACTTTCAAATTTTCCATTTATACTATCCGGACTTATTATTGGTCATATTATCTGTTTCCTTAATATATGCCTCCACCTGTTTCATTTCACATCTTCGTTATTTCATTATGAACCTCTCATTGCAATCTTACTATCTCCTCTTTAATACAGACCACTTTGTACTAGTCACTCACTCACCTGACACCTTTTATAACCTTCAACCGACCTGTCAATTTTCCTACCCCACACTCTACAATTCTATTATGATTAATCACCACGAGTGTCTCCCATTTTACCGAAATATTTTGTAATCGATTTCAGCCTAGCACGTTTGTCACACAAATATGACTATTTATTTTGACACCCTATAACTAATCTGTTATTCTACGTTAAAAATGTATCCGCCGCACAACTAACTGGCCATCACTATTGTAACGACAACAAATATTATATTTTATAATTGTAAGAACCTGAGAAGAATTTTACTGAAAAGGATGCTCCTCGTTCAGATTGACTTTTAAAAATCAGTTGAGTTCAATTACTCAAACTCATTATCTAAAGCCAACGCCTTGCAAAAATTAGTGACGAACTTATATGTAAGGTAAGTGACAAAAGTGTTGAAATTCATACGTGAAAAATCCTCTACGAAATGAGTCTTAGGAAATGCTTTATTGAGGATTATTTTTCAATTATTACTTCCTTGGATTCTGAGTGGATCATACGGCTTGAACAGCACCACCACTAACCTCCTTTGTTCTGTTCCCTACAGTCCACTCTCTATCTGGCTCCACGATTGCCCGTAAGCTTCCATCTCCTTCTCACACAATCTCCTGGATGTATCATTCTCGAACACACACCCAATCAGTCGTTTCGCATAAGGGTTCCATTCAAAGTCCCGGTGAGCTATGTCACATGACGGTCTCCTTAGCGTCTGATCCATCTCCACTTTCTACGGAATAATCGTTGAGCAGTAGGGTTCTTGATTCCTGCGTCTCTGGCCTACAAAGCGCCCTTCAGTATGTAGCGAAGACGACAGTTGTTAATAAAAGTTCGCAGTTGCCTGTTGGAGATGCTTTTCTTGATACACCGGTTTTAATATCCTCGTTGGTGGTGTCGCCTGGTGTTATGAAACCATTGTTCCTAGTTTGAAGGAAATTCACAATCAGAGTGGTTGTAAAAAGATAGAGTACCTCTCCTCTCCACTCCACTCCTAATTTACGTTCGAGAAATAACGATAAACTACCAAATTTCGTCTCTTCTAAGTGTATCTACCAGTTTGACTGCTTGTGCGGAACCAGTTACATTGTGCATACAAGTGGGCAGGTTCATCATTGCATTTTTCTGGGAACCATCCCGTATGGTCAGGCAAGGGGACAAACAACATCCATTCTTAGCTCTATTTTACCACACCTTGAAGACAGTGAGCACAGAATTGATATTAATAAAGCATTTAAAGTTATTCAACGCATTCCGACCAATATCAATTTCGCTTTACGAGTTCGCCTTCTATATTACAGCCAAAGTTATGAGAATCCCCCTGAAGAAGCCAAAGCTGTGTGCTCCGAATAAATTTGTACAACCATTTTCTTTATCTTGACCATCGTTACATGAATGCATTAGCCTGACAATTTCGTCCTCCTACTAAGCCTATTAGGTGTTATCATTGTTCAGATTATTTTGCCTTTCGAACTCCTTATTACGTATTCAACTTGAATACGCATGTATGCCTCAATTACTCTTTATTTTGTTTTTCACTACGGATTGATGTCAGTTAGAAAACCGGCGAAAACCAGAGAGTGCTGGACACCTGCTTCGTCCTGGTGCTTGGGAATCATCGGCGGTACTCCCCCATCGACCAGGCTTTGAACTCAACACCTACCTTCCCAGATACAAGGTCAACGACCTTGTTGAATACTCAACGACTGATACCCGACTCAATGACCAGTCCATGAATTCTACCTTCTACCGATTCGTGATTTTAGCGCGACTGGCACGAGACAGTCTCATCCCTGGTGAGCAATTTTCCTCGCTACCAACAGGATGGTCCTCCTTGGTCATCACAACTTTTCAGCAGAACTCCAAGAAACTCTGTAACTCTGTAGCCAGTAAGCTCACCAGCGAGCATCAGATTAATTTTCAAGGGTTGGCTAACAGGGATTTGATTTGTGAGTTTACGATGAGTCCCGAGCACTAGGACGAAACAGTTGCAATAATAATAATAACAGTTTTATTCCAAACAGTATTTGTGGTACAAGTATGAATTTTCATGTGTGCATACAATATATTACATCTAATTACCTCATAAATTTTATAAGATTTTAAAATCAAAAAGCAACATCTCAAAAAAAGATAAATAAAAAGAAATAAAAAAGAACAGCGTTGCGTTTACATTTTAAACAATGCACCACAGGATATGAAATATAACATTAGTGTGTAATAGAAGATATGAACAACAGTACAATAGTAACGAAGAAAGGAAAACAAAAGCTTATGCGGCTATTTCTTAGAGTGCCGCAGTAAGTTGATCGTATCATACCTAACGGATTTCTCATCACATAACAGCTGTGCCAGATGTGCTAATGTTGGGTTTTTATACTTGGTGGTCCTAGCATATAGCCTCCTATAGCTGCTGCTTCTAGTTCTACCAGATGAAATGCAAGGAGACAGCTGCGTATAGAGAGGATGCTCGGGGTCTGACAACATTGTATTCGCTAGTTTCTTACATGACATAATATGTCTATCCACAATAGTGTTAACCAGTTGGCTTAACGATATCCCACTAGCCCTAATAACGGCTTTTAGTGCCTGCCCTTCTCAGCAAAGCAAAGTCTTTCTTAAGTAGTCCAGGAAAGATTAATGCGGAGCAGTAAAGGGGGATGGGTAGGATACAAGAATTGACAAACTGAGAAGGCAAAGACTGCTTTTTACCAGACTGCCTTAACTTACTAAAATGTAGAACGTTAGGCGAAACATCTTTCTAGTAACTAGCAAGATGTGGGAGGTCCAAGAGAGATCGGAGGAAATACTCAGTAAAAGGTACTTGACATTAGATGGATTTTCAACCTCTATGCCGTCAATGATAGCGGGGCCATGTAAGCTAGCTAGTTGTTGTAGGTCACGTTTTCGTCTAAAAGTGAAATTGACTACCTGACATTCAGACGGATTCAGCTTAAGGCCGTTTGAAGAGGACTACTGACTAATTTCCGACAGAAAGTTATTTAATTTGGAACAATCTGACTGAGAGTTGACAGGCATAGAAACAAAGAGGTCATCAAACAGCATACTTAACAAAAGTGGCTACAACATCAGAATGGGGCAAGTCATATTCAATACTCCCTAGTGATTTTCAATGGTTCTTCAACTGATATCAATCCATGGTGAAACTGGAAACAAATCGAATCCCTACAAACTAACTAACTAACTAACTATCGAAAATATTTCTTCGCTTACAAAATAAAACAACAATTGACACCTAATTACGATAGCACATTCTCAATGATATTGAATAATTATTATTTGGGGGTGTAAACACACACACACACAGAAAGCAATGCATTAATCAATAAATGCTTTAAGGACAACAATCTGTGGGTGGTTTTCTAGAATACTGCTCAACTCAGTAGGCAAACGTTTTTTTTATTGCACAAAAGTTATAAAAAGTCAATGTCAATATATTAATGATGACACTGTTAAATAAATAAATACACCACTGTGTATATAAACAAACCTTTTTCTTGCTCCAGAATGATGAGTAACACGATCACGTATTCCTGTCAAGCTTGATAATGCATTACCCTCCACCTGTGTGTAGGAAACAGGTGCAGACACTTGAACTTCAATGTCTTGTTGACAGGAGATAGCTGCTTTAGGCAATTCACTGCCACATAGACCTATATGACAAAAAAAGTATAAAAAACAATTGCAGAGTAAAAATACAGACGAAAGAAATATTGGGAATCTAGCTGTGCAAATAATCCCAATAAAAAGGAAAACTAAGCTTCATTAAACAACACCAATCGAATGTCTACTTGAATTAAAGAGTTGGTTTGTAGGGATTTGATTGGTTACAGGATTTCATCATGAGCTGATATTAGTTAGAGAGCTCCAGGCCCTTGCAAACAGAAGGGCCTGGATTCAAACCCCAGTGGGTGCGTAATACTGAAGAGTCCCGAAACTAGGACGAAACAGTACAATCTAGTACTCCCAGGTTTTCCAATGGTTCTCTAAATAATGTCAGCTCATGATGAAATCCTGTAACCAATCAAATCCCTACAAACCAACACTTGGATATGATTTGTTTTAAGTTTGACCACGGATTCATATTAGTTAGAGAATGATTGAAAAACTACGAAGTACTCACTCGACAGGTGTTTCGTACTAGTTTTGGACTCAGTAGTAGTAGTACACACACTGACAAGGGTTCGAACCCACGACCGACCGATTACAAGGCAGGCGCTCGTAGACGATTTTGCCACAGGGACCCAATTCTATCTTCTGCTAATTTATGGTTATAAAGCTACTGGCACCAGCCAATCGCTGGCGGGTATTTGTTCTCACACTCGACCGAGTGTATGCCACTGGTCACCACGACTTCGTACAAGAACTCTAGGCACCTTCACAGTGTAATCAGTCACTAGCAAAGCATCAGAATAATTTTCAAGATGGGGACGATACTTTACACTGACAAAAAAGAACCCAAACCACATTATCAAGAACGATTAGGGTTTGGCATGCAATTCGCTCCCGCCAAATGCAAGATGATGTTACAAGACTGGACTGCAGCGACTCCTAGATTAAAAATAGGGAGTGAAGTGGTAGAGCACGTTGACCACTTCACTTATTTGAGAAGTACCATCAGCCAGTGCCAACGGGTTGATCTCTGACGAAATCTCGGCACCAATACAGGGGGCTCGTTTCACATTTGCCAGTTTACGCCGTCTCTGGTGTAGACGAGATATCCGACTGGCCATCGACCAAAGGGCGAGTGTACTGCTCATCAGTCCGCTCTGTCCTCCTTTATGGCAGTAAGTGAGACCTGGCCACTGAGAGTGGAAGACATGAAAAGATTAGCTGTCTTTGATCATAGGTGCCTGCGTTCTATCTCCCGTGTAAAGTGGTATAATAAGGCGAGCAATATTGAGGTTAGGCGTCGAGTGCTAGGTAAGGAGGGGAAATCAATCGACGAAGTCGTGAAGTTACAAAGACTGAGGTGGTTAGGACATGTGTTACGTGTTACGTATGCATACCTAGTCATCGCCTTCCTCGACGAGCAATGTTAGCGGATGTAGGGTCAGGCTGGAAAAAAGCTAGTGGAGATCAAACAAAAACATGGTTTCACCAGTCAATGAAATCTACAACAGTTAGTCTAAGCCACGTAGGAAGATGTAGACTTCCTGGTTGGGGTCCTCGGGAGGGTAAAAACAAATGGTTGGAAACAATTGGTGACATGGCTCAAAATCTTTCTCAATGACTGGTGCACTCCCTGTGACTTATGATTTCCAATGAAACTGTTTTGTTCTTCGTTATTACTCCTCCTTTGTCTCACACCTCTGTTTACTGTCTCTATTATACCTTTCTTGTACTTTCTTCTCTTACTTTGTGTGCTACATGGAGGGAGTGTGGCGACTTGAACTTCCGCACATATGTGCAAAGTTCTATGTCGAAAACAGACAGGCAGACAGATTGAATTTTAGCAATAAATAGTAAGTATGTAGAATAACATAAACCGACTGACACAAACGTGTTGTTGATGAATACATGTTTCAACCGGAAATTCACAAAATTTGCAATGTAAACCTTTTGAGGGGTGAAGTTTTTCACCACCGTTTCCTTTACAAACCAGAAATTGTTTTAGATTACCACAATATGCGATATGCCTGAGGCGCCATAAATGGTAATCATCAAGAAAACAAAGCATATTTGCATAAAACTACCATACTACCAGTGATTGTTTGAGATGAATAGTTTTAAGCCACCGATCATATCGATTGATTACCACTTATCGTGTCGAACAGATCACATATTGTTATGATCGGAATAATAACTTGGTTTCCAAAGGAAAATACGCTGAAATCCCCCCCTTTGACCTGAGTATATTGGAGAGGTCTAGTTTTACACATGACAGTTTACGTCGCCTCTGACATAGACGTGATATCCGGCTGGCTATCGACCAAAGGGTGGGTGTACTGCTCAATAGTCCCCTCCGTTCTCCTTTATGACTGTAAGACATGGCCATTGAGAGTGGAAGATATGAAAAGGCTAGCTGTTTTTGGTCATAAGTGCCTACGTTCTATCTCTCGTGTTATGTGGTGGTAAAATAGGGTGAGCAATATTGAGGTTAGATATTGAACGCTAGGTTAGATAAGCAGGGGGAAATCAATCGACTGTGAAGTTACACCGATTGAGATGGTTAGGACATGCATTACGCATACACCAAGCCATCGCCTACCTCGACGATGGGCAATGTTAGCTGACATAGGATCGATCAGGTTGGAAAAAAGCCAGTGGTGGTCAAACCAAAAAAAATATGGCTTCATCAATCATTGGAATCAACAACAGTTAGTTGAAGCCAGTCACATGGGAAGGTGTAGACTTCCTCGCTGGTTGAGGTCCTCGGGATGATAAACACCAACGAACGCTGGAGACAATTGGCGATAAGGCTCAAAATCCTCACTCTCAATGACTGGCGTACATGCATCCACGCTTTGTGATCGATCTATAATACCCAATGAAACTATACTGTTCTTCGATATTACTATTCTTTTTGCCTCATATCCCTGTTTACTGCTTCTCATTCGCATTTGTTTTTACTGGTGGACGTTGAAACGAGTCAATCAATCAGTTGGGTATTTTGTAACTCAACTTTTTTATAAGCCTCAATGAATTATGCTACCTTTTGTTGTTGTTGTTGTCTATTCTCTATTGATTGCATGGAGGATTTCATCATGAACTAACATCAGTTAGAGAACCACTGGAAAACCTGCAAGGAGTACTGGACAGCCACCTGTTTCGTCCTAGTTCAGGACTCTTCATGAGTATGCACCCACCCACCACAGGGGGATTCGAACCCAGGACCTTGTGGTTACAAGGCGAGCTAGCTCGTAGACTATTGAGCCACTGGGATCCGATCCAATGATTCTTGAATTCTAACTTCTGCCAATTCACGACATAGCGCGACCATTTCGCAATGTCTTCTTTGATGAGTTACTGATAATGGTTGTCTATTGGACTTTCCGTTCAAAAAAGACTCAGATATGAATTAAAGCCATCAACACAATGTCAAGGATGAAAAAAAAGCGATTTCAGTGATGAGCGAGCAGTGTGAAACTACTAAGGCTGCAGCATTATAGAGAGAAATGTTACTTACGTGAACTATGATCACCTGATGCTAAGAGGTTATCTACAGCAGATGACAATGTAACCGCCGTTCCGAAATGAGAATTCATTTCATGCCACCTTCTATCATCTTGTTGCTGTTGTTGTTGGTAGTGGTGATGATGATCATGATGATGGTGTTGCTGTTCCGCAGCTACTAAATAAGAAGAACCAAACTCTGGTTTAAATCCGTTGGTCTTTGGTGCACTGTCTGAGTTGAGTTTCCCGTATTTCGGTGATCTAGGAGCTAAAACCAAACAAACATAAAAGTAGTAACAAATGAAAAGTATATCCCCAAGATTAACACACCAGAATCGGAAAGACAAGGCTGATTTTTCAACACCCCCATATTAAGTCACTGAGCAACTTCTATAATGGGTCAGAAAGAACACTTAAGGCGTCATGAATAGAGCTTTTCGAAAAGGCAAATAAAGACTTTTATCAACAACAGCAGTCCACTTTGCAGGCAGCTCTAGACTGGAAGTCGGATTACTGGTCAGAAAAGAATTAGCAGCAAGCAACTCCGAGAACGAACCAACCAAGAACCTATTGGATCAACAACAACAAAAAAATATCCAGAAAAAACTGAAGATCGATCGGATACGCGCTAAGGAGACCGTTGGGTGATAATCTCAAGTCAGGCGTTTCAGTGAAACCCGAATGCTAAATGGCGGATTGGCCGAGTGTCTGAGGATGACATGAGGCCAACCTAAAGGGGATTGCAGGGAACAGGATAAAGTGGAGATACTCTGTTGAAGCCCTGTGTCAAAACTTGGAAACCAAGGGAATAATAATAATCTGCTTTATTCTAAAAATACTACTTATAATACAGAATGGAATTGTCTGCATTTGTCACAACATTGCATCTGATTTACTTAAAATATCAATTAAATTTAAAATTAAAACAAAATTAACCAGCGGAATTTGTCCACATTTACGATATAAAGTCAAAAATACTCGAAGTAGTAATTGAGAATAATAAATATAATGATAGTAATAATAGTGAGTTTGTTTCAAACAGTATCGTCGATTCAGATGGAAAATTTTAGCATGTTATAGATTATTGAATCTTCTGTTCTGTTGATGCAGTATGATGAGGGGAAATACAAAATTAACAGTTATAACACTGCTAAAATGATGTTCAAACTTATGAAAAAATAAACAAATAAAAACAAAAAAATTGAGAGGATTATAAATATAAGGAGTACAATAACAATAAAGGTTGATGTTGTAAGGGTAAAGGAAATGGATCATTTAATAGTGCAAAGAAGGTTAGTTAGTTCATGCCTAACACTATTTGCATCACATAAAGTACGTGCTAAATATGGTATAGTGGAGCTTATATACTTAGACGTACGTGCATAAAGTCTTCTTAAAAGACTTCTTGTTTTACACGAGGAGACGCAAGGTTGGAGCTGCGGTGGATGCTCACAGTCTGACAAAATTCCTTTAGCTAATTTGTTGCATGAAATCAAGTGCCTATCATCAACGACGATGTCAACAATATGGCCCAATGGGATAGGATACCATTCGCCCTACTGACGGTCACTCTTCAGAGTTCTACGAAGTTTGGCATAATCTTTTTAAACAATCCAGGAAAGAATAAGCGTGTGAACAGTAAAAGAGAATAGGTAAGATGCACAAGTTGACAAACTGTAAGAGGAGGGTTTGGTTGAGTTATACCCGAGAGTGAATCAACTTCTTATTGCAAAAAGTCACACGAAATATTCTTTTAGAAATCGCTATGACATAAAAATAAGCGTTTTGTTGCTCACTTATTCAACTACATTACAATAAATATGTGTGAATTTCAGCTCGCCGGAAATCCACCATCTTTGTTGAATGGCTTGATAACATGCCGTCATCCTACCGGCAGCTTAATCGAAAAACCGATCAATCAGCAAAAGAAAGACTATTTAAGTAAGTGTTCTTCAAACACAATCAATTGGACATTGAATCACAAGAAGCTTAACAACCTACTAAAGAAGTGACAGAACCCTAATTACCACAGAGTAGGCAAGCAAGAAAGCACTGGTGATATAAAATTCAACGATAACAATGGTATCATGAAAGATGTTGACGTAAAAGCCGAAATTCAGAGAGTTGTCAAACTCACTCCTTACATAACACCGCAGAAATTCCATACTTCTACCTCACATCCTTTGCACTATTGCTTCCATTTTATATGTATATATCTTTTCAATTAAGGTAAGGGGTAGCTAACTTCAAGTGTTGAATAGAATCCAAAGCTGAACAAGACCAGACGTAAACGAGAATACATATTAAAAGGCATTAACGTCCATTCCGTCTCATATTCCAAAACTCCTTACAATCACTCACCACTATCTGGTTTGTGTAAAATAACCATAGAATTGCGTTTTTTGCAATATTGATGCGAAAGCACAGGATTTGGCATTGAAGTGCGCGTTGAGTTACAAACAGATTTTCTAGCTGTTATAATATGCTGACCATTAAGGCGTATTGGATCTCGATCCAAATCATCACTAGGAAGATCCAATTCATCTGTTTGATGGTCATGTGGGAAAAATTCACGTCTTAAAAGCTGTTCAAGCTTTTGTTCTCTTTCTGATGAATAAGAGGTCAACTGCAAAAAAAGAAGAATAATAAAAAGATATACAGAGACAAATATTATTTTCATGAGTAATGAACACAAAAGAACTTTTTTGATGACCATAATATGGAAAACACACCCTGAAATCTTAATTGCCCTGGTGTTTATCTAAACACAGACCTGACAAGGGTATGTCCACTGCATATTCGACATGGTAATGTAATGTTATCATCTTAACTGTCACAATTCCAGTGATACTAGACATGAAAGCTGTAACAAGTGAGTTCTAGTGAGAAGTAGTTAATCAGTGACGTACACTGCCCCCCCCCACGGTCGGGAGTGAGGAATAATACTCGCCAGCTATAAGATTGGCGATTGTAAAACCTGCACGGAGTACTGGGTAGCTATTTCGTCCTGGCTTTGGACTCTTCAGGAGTACGCACCCACCCACCAGGGTCCGAACCCAGGACCTTCCCGGTTACAAGGAGAGCTCGTAGACCATTGAGCCACTGGGACCCAATCCAATGACCAGCCCATGAATTCCACCTTCTGCCAATTCACGACATAGCGTGACCACTAGCCAATGTCTTTTTCAATGAGTTACTGCCTCATCTTCCAGTGGGAACCTGTGATCAGTAGCGTACAGAAGGTTGAAGATGAGGCAGTAACTTATCGAAGAAAACGTTGCAAAATGGTCGCGCTATGTCGTGAATTGGCAGAAGTTAGAATTCAAGAATCATTGGATCGGATCCCAGTGGCTCAATAGTCTACGAGCTAGCTCGCCTTGTAACCACAAGGTCCTGGGTTCGAATCCCCCTGTGGTGGGTGGGTGCATACTCATGAAGAGTCCTGAACTAGGACGAAACAGGTGGCTGTCCAGTACTCCTTGCAGGTTTTCCAGTGGTTCTCTCTAACTGATGTTCAGCTCATGGTGAAATCTTCCATTCACCAATACCCCCACAGTTCTCAATGGTTTTCTAACTGATATCAATCCGTAATCAAAAAACATATTCACTCTTCTCAAATAATTTGTTTATCCGTACAAATTGAAAAGTCCAAAAGTTACAAAGTATGAATCTATACCACCTGCCGCAATTATGAGACCAATTCGAAGCATTTTTTCTTGTCAGACAATGGACATGAAGTGTCGAAGAAAAGAAACCTGCAGTTCAAAGCAAAAGACGACCTATTTCCACAGTCAGTGCCGCACTTTTTCATTCATTCAGTTGTTCAGTAATTTAACAAAACCTCTGATATGTTAGAACAAAAACTTAGAGTATTTTAAACTACAAGTATCAAATAATACCCATCTGAAACATGGTGAGACAGAAAAAAACTAAATTTCAATAAACATTATAATACAACTATCTGGTAATGAATTATACTCACCGGTGGTACAGACGCCTTCAACTGTTGTAACGTCGTGGATTCTGTGACAACTTTTGCCGGTTCAACTATTTTTCTACTCGACGTGATAGGTAATTTGGCTGCAGCTGCTGCTGCTGCTTGCGCAGTCGCCTGCAAATTCCGTTGAATTCGTGCTTGTTCCTCTTTTTGCGCCTCGATCTGCCGTTGACGTTCTAGTCTTCTAGCTTCTCTTTGCAGTTGAACTAAGGCTTTGAGGTGAGCTCTAGGCGTGGAACAACCACCGCTAGCAGCATGACTACTGCAGTCTTGGGTAACTGCTTGCGGACCTACAAATCAAGTGGAAAACAGATAAGTAAACTAATGTAGTAGAAATCAAAGATCAACTTTGATTAGATCAAGGTTCTAGAGAAAGGTTTTGGTTCGTATAACGAAAGGCTGACTGCAGAGACCCTACATACATAGGTGAATCCCAAAAGCTTGAACAGGCATGAAGGCGTGATGTTAGCTGATGCATGGCAAGTCCTGATTAATAAATACAAACGGATATATATATCACTAATTAATCATACTTGATCTAAATTCCCCATTGTCTATATCTTGTTATGGAAAGGCTAACATGATTTACAGATGTTCCCCAAAAAATTGATATGATTATGAACAATAAATTGTGTTCGAAACTGTGTCATCCAGTATATAATACTGTTTCACTGTGTGATACAGCTAATAAACAAACTAATATGGAATTCCCCCATACACGCATACACATATACTCCATTGTATACCACATATACGCATATATTTCCCACATTCAGTTATCTACGACCATGAACTTTATTCAGACGTAATCACCAAAATTACATTCTGTTTTAAAAGTATTTAACAAAAGTAGACTAATAATAGTAAGTCTGAGGTCAAATTTCGATCACAGTTCATACAATTTCGTCTATTATATTTTGATACCCATTTCATGACTCATTTCATGATTAGTAAGAAAAAGGCACAAACAGCGAAGATAAATTTTCCCTTTTCGACGATTCATTTTCATGAGCTGTTGTACAATCGTAATTACAATTAACAAAGAAATCTTTAGACCAATCAGATACTGGTAAACTTTGTCCTTGAAAAATTGTATTACATAACGTAAGGAGTAAGAAGAGATGACTAATTGTAAGTTAGACAGGAAACACAAGTTGGCATGACGCAATAAGTGTGAGATAATGGCCAATCAATAAGCTCGTGTAGAATGGACAGGAACTAGTGGAAAGGCTATAAAGTAGTTTTGTATAAGATCTGTACGAAAAAGCAATGTTATTAATAGAGAGTAATAGAGTGGTAATAAAATGTGGATGATGGGGATTATAATGATAATAAAAGTAATAATAATAACAGTGAACTTACATAATAAAGGAAAGCAAAATTGTGATTAGACAAAGTTTTTTCTAAAAACAAGAGATATCCTTTTTATATACATAAACCTGTTATTTTAATTCCGATTGATTTCCCTGAAAAGGTGCGGACCAGTTTGCCGAACACAGGAAACGTTAGAATTACTCATTTCAATTTCGCTGAGATTTTACAAAATATAATTTTTACATTTGCCCTATTTCTCACTCAGCGCCCAATTCTATCTTGGGACTGTTTGGTTAAATCTTGATCATGGTTCATGTGAAACCTTTAATTACAGTTTATGAAAAGCTGTATTGATCTAACATTATATCGTAAAGGCAAAAAGTACGATTAAATTATCCAATAATGATTTGTAAGGATTTGATTGGTTCATGCAGTAGCCACAGGATCGACTTTCAGTGGCTGAATCAGTCTACTGGTTCACCTTGTAACCAGAAGCCCCTGGGTCCGAACCTCAGCGGGCACGTACTGTTGAAAAGTCCCGAGCACCAGGATGAAACAGCTAGCTGCCCAGTACTCTCTGGTTTCTCCAATGGTTCTCTAATTCATTAGGCAGGTTCGTCTACCGGTTCGAGAACATTTACCAGCCTATTTCAGCAAGGGGAGGGGAAAATTAAGTGCATAAAAAGCTCGATCCTGTAACACTTGGTCGATATTGGACATCGCACCGATCTCAACACAGCTTTCGGGGTGATATACCGAATTCCGAAGTTGTTATCACGTACAGTTCACTTACTTCTACACACAGAGCTGAAGCTGTTGCAATAACATCGACTAAACCGCAACTTTGTATCTAAAAAGAACACGTCCAGACGCTGTTCCTACCGTCACCAAACTTGGATCGATGATTCTTCTTCTGCTCACCAAGAGTGCTCCTTCCCCTTAACCATCTTCGTTTTTTTCCCTTGCTTTTTATTACAATTATTCGTCATAATTTATGCCCTTCATGCAAACATTCCCTCAATACTTTCGAATTCTTCATTTATACTAACCGGACTTATTATTAGTGATATTATCTGTTTTCTTAATATATGCCTCCACCTGTTTCATTTCACATCTTCGTTATTTCATTATGAACCTCTCATTGCAATCTTACTATCTCCTCTTTAATACAGACCACTTTGTACTAGTCACTCACTCACCTGACACCTTTTATAACCTTCAACTGACCTGTCAATTTTCCTACCCCACACTCGACAAATCTATTATGACTAATAACCACAGACATTGTCTACCATTTTACCGAAATATTTTGTAATCGATTTCAGCCAACTAGCACGTTTGTCACACAAATACGACTATTTATTTTGACACCCTATAACTAATCTGTTATTCTACGTTGAAAATGTATCCACCGCATAACTGGCCATTATTGTAACAACAGCAAATATTATATTTTATAACTGTAAGAACCTGAAGAGGAGACATTGTTGAAAAGAATATTCTTCGTTCAGACTGACTTTTAATTGATGTCAACTTGCCATTAAACCAGTGTTAGGTTAATCATTAATTTAAAAAAATTTACATCTGTATTAAAAGAACAAAAGCTGTCAGGGTGTTGATGAATTGATTTTGAAGTGGTTTTCACGAACGGTAGAATAATAGCAGAGCTACATAAAGCACAGTTCCGATTAAATCACGAAAAATACCCATATATTCATAAATAAAAACACAGTTTCTGTACAGCGAATAAATTTCTTTTCAACGACTTCATTTTCAAGCTTTAGAGTATTTATATTACAGAAAAAGTTTGGTTTGGTCAATGAAAGGCGAACGTAGAACTGAAAAGTCGTCTATTTGTGATCACCTGTTAGAGTCTGGTCATTTAGCCCCACAAGATTCATCTTTCAAAATTATCTACATGGCAAAATCGAATCGATCCAAACGTTTACGTTTTTTTCACTTATGCTTAGCCGAAGCTTTGGCTATACATAAACAGAAACCTAAATTATGTGTTCAAAAACGTTTCGTCAAACCCCTTTCTTTACCTTGGTCATAGTAAGGTTCTTTCTAGTTGTTATTTTATTTTACCACTTGAATTCACTTCACATCTTTATTCTTATCGTAATCGTACTCCTAATTTTTAGAAATTTTTTAGACAACGCTTGACATTAAAAAATATTTTTGGTATCTATTCACTTATAGAACAATCTTTAATAATTTTGTAATTTATCCACTTCAACTGTACCCCTTGTAACATTTTAATTACCGTTATTCTTATCACATATATATGTATATTGACTGAGCAATTATTTAGTGCCACTTAATAACCTTTTTCTGTAATATAAATACGATTGTACAGCTTGAAAGAAAATGAAGTCGTTGAAAAGAAATTCCTTCGCTGAACAGAAACTGTCCTTTTACAGTTCCATTTATGTTTCATGAAACAAACACCTAGGAGAAAATTAATTAATCTATCAGTCAATAAATCGGTTAGCCAATAACCATTTCTTATAACAGATATTAGCAACACTCTATGTGACAACAACATGTGACAGATAAAAGAAATAAAATATAGGCCGAACCGAAACAGAAACCGATGGTAAAGTGACAGTCGTTTGAAAATATATACAAACTAAACTCTACCAGAGTAAATAAAATTATTAAAAGCGTTTATAAAAAGTAGCAGCAAATGTCCACTGTTTTGTTGATATAAGAATAAAACTTGTGCACTGTGGTAGACTGTAATTCCATTATGGGTAAATTTTGTTTTGATAAAGTCTCACAGTGTTATACAGTAATGTTTGGTTTAGCACAATTTATTACTGCTCATAATCATATCAAGGTACTCACACGACTTTCTAACTTCATTTATATAGTTCCAGTGACCAGTAGGGTGCAACAGGTCGTGTGTGAGGACAAATACCCGCCGACGACATTGGCTAGCGGTTGCGCTATATCGTCAATTGGCAGAAGTTAGAATTCATGAGCCATTGGATCGGGTCCCAGTCTGTCTCTGTCTGTCTGTTTTCGATATAGAACTTTGCACAAATGTGCGGAAGTTCAAGTCGCCACACTCCGTGTAGCACGCGAAGCAAGAGAAGAAAGTACAAGAAAAGCATAATAGAGACAGTGAGCAGAGATGTGAGACAAAGGAGTAATAAAGAAAAACAAAACAGTTTCATTGGAGATCATAAGTCACAAGGAGTGGATGCATCTGCGCCACTGAGAACGATTTTGAGCCATGTCACCAATCGGGTCCAGTGGCTTAATGGTCTACGAGCTAGATCGCCTTGTAACCAGAAGGTCCTGGGTTTGAACCCCGGTGGGTGAGTACTGCTAAAGAGTCCCAAACTAGGACGAGACAGTTGTCCAGTACTCCCTGCAGGTTTTCTAATGGTTCTCTAACCAATGTCAGCTCACGATGAAATCTTGTGACCATTATTTTTCACTTGATTTGATTGGTAGTAGTATTTTCCATATTTCGGGTATGAGTGATGAACTATTCCTATTGCATGTGTTGGGTGTAGACTCGATGAACCAAACAGGATTCAGTAATCAACCTGTCTCTCCACCTATTTAGATTACCTCTTAGAATTTTAAGCCTCTCCCACCCACCCTATTGTGTAATTGTGTGTTGGGGCATGCAGTGCAATTGCTGAGATTTTTTCTAAATTATTTATCTTTTCAGGGTCAACCATTCTTACCTTAGCTAAATTCTTGTTCCTACAATCTGACTACCCCTAACCTACTAGTTTGACCAATGTGGTTGACCTAACTCACAGTCATTCCAGGGTATTTTGTAAATAATATTATTTTGTTTCATTGAGTCAACCTCCAGGGTCTTTTGGCCTACAGAGCTTGTCCTACTTGAGTAAGTTTGTAGGTTTGAATGCCGCCCTAATTCCTGCTTTATTTAGAATCCTACTTAGGGTCTCAGAAGTCCCCTCTTCATATGGTATAACAGTAGATGACTTATATTTTCTCTTATTTATGTTATCATTACTAGTTTCACAATTATTTCTATACATTTATTCTCCTTAATGAATTTGAACAAAGCAAGAACTACAGTTTTAGCAGAATAAAATGGTACCATCAGTGTTTATTTCGTTGCCTTCTCGTCAGCTGCTTACATGGCAAAGACATTATTAAATATATCGACAACAACAATTTTAACATACTTGCACAGAGTTCATTTTAAACAAAAATCAATCGATCAATATACGCATACACTAAAAATATATACATATATAAATATGCAATATTAACCACTATTCCGAACAATAATAACCATACACCATGGGAACTTTTCACCATTACGCGTTCAGATGAAAGAGAGGTGAAAATATCCAGTTACCAGGGCAAAGAGAGACTGATAACTGTTTCTTTCTGAATGCATAAATCAGGTTTCAGGCGCTTGATGGAAATGGCTTCAGCAAACTTAAGGAGAATTGAGCTCTTTCGCCTATTGATAATTTTGAACGACTTTTCGACGTCCACCTCATGACCCGTGTCAAGGAGATGCTTGGTGATGGTACTGTTTAAAGCATTTGTTCCCTTTAGACGTAAGCTTTTTGGTACATGTTCAGAAAATCGTAGATATGTACCAAAAAGCTTACGTCTAAAGGGAACAAATGCTTTAAACAGTACCATCACCAAGCATCTCCTTGACACGGGTCATGAGGTGGACGTCGAAAAGTCGTTCAAAATTATCAATAAGCAAAATAGCTCAATTCTCCCTAAGTTTGCTGAAGCCATTTCCATCAAGCGCCTGAAAGCTGATTTATGCGTCCAGAAAGAAGCGGTTATCAGCCTTTCTTTGCCCTGGTAACTGGATAATTTCACCTCTCTTCCCTTCGAATGTGAAATGCTAAAAGTTTCCATTGTGTTTGATTATTATTGTTCGGAATAGTGGTTAATATTGCATATTTATATATGTATATTTTCAACTCCAATGTAAAGTCAGTGCTACTATACGGATCAGAGACTTGGCGAGTCATAAAGAGCATCCCAAACAAACTTCAGACCTTCATTAACAGCTGTCTCCGCTCAATACTCAAGATCAGATGGCCAGAAAATATCAGCAACAGGGATCTCTGGGAGCGAACCAATCAGGAACCGATTGTGAAACAAATAGGCAGAAAGAAATGGAGATGAATTGGCCATACCCTGAGGAAACCATCAAGTGACATCACTAGACAAGCCCTCGAGTGGAACCCGAAAGGGAGGCGGCGAGTTGGTCGTCCAAGGGTGACTTGGAGGAGGTCATGCGAGGAAGAGATGAAAGCATGTGGACAGACCTGGAGCAGGGTGAAAAAGTTGTCAGAAAACCGAAGGCAATGGAGGTGCTCAGCTGAAGCCCTATGTTCCTCTAGGAACTAAAGGATACAATAATAATAATAATATTTTTAGTGTATGTGTATATTGATCGATTGATTTCTGTTTAAAATGAACTGTCTGTGCAAGTATGTTAAAATTGTTGTTGTAGATATATTTAATAATGTCTTTGCCATGTAAGCAGCTGACGAGAAGGCAACGAAATAAACACTGATGGTACCATTTTATTACTTACTTACTTTACTTTACTTCGGCTATCTCCTACGGGAGGATGAGCCGGCTTCATGAACGTCTCGAATCATCGCTGCCCAGGAGCGGCAATTTGTAAGAGAGTTCATGAAGTTTCATGGGAATTTGGTACGAGTGATGTCCCCAGAATCGCTCGGCCTTTTGTTTGAGAGTGCAGCTCTAGCCTTTACACAACCAAGTGTGACCTACAAGGCAGTAGGAGTGGAGTAAGGAGTCCACTATCCATTGGCAGCCGATGACCGGAGTTCGGTTCATACGCCTTTTTGAATGGGGCCAGACATCCAGGACATCCAACAAGCCCTTTGTCCATACGTCTGCCGGTGAGCTCCAGTGAGCTTCATACGCCAATCGTTGGAGGTTTGGAATCAGGGTTTAGCCATCTCCCCTAGACTGTCATCCAATGGACAGTCAACCCGGTGGAGAGCGCCAGGCATCCGCTTTCGCCCTCTCACTTCGGTGAAAAACACCTCCGCCACGTGAAGGCAGTGAGTAGGACTTCCTCAGGAGAGGCTGTGTAAGACGCCCGGTCATATGGGAGCATTTCAAGAGGTGTGCAGAGGGGGTGGCCAACCCGCAGAGCAAGGCACCCACCCCCGACCATCCTGAGGCTTTGGAGGCTACCATTTTATTCTGCTAAAACTGTAGTTCTTGCTCTGTTCAAATTATTTTTATCTTGTTTTTGGCCTTTACTGATCTTCCTAATGAATTTTATAAGATAGTTATTGAACACCAATGCTTCTATCTGTTTTATTTCGTCATTTAGGTTTTTCTTGTGCTACTTGGTGCAATTGTTCGGTGTGTTAAACACTTAACTAAGCCTGCCTTCACAGACAGATAACAGATGAGATTAATTAAAGTCTAAATATCCATCAGCAGAATGCGTTGGTTTTCTATAAACACTAGTGTGTAGTTTGCCTTCTTCTACTACCAATCATATCAAGTGAAAAATAATGGAACTATATAAATAAATGAAGTTAGGAAGTCGTGTGGGTACCTTGATATGATTATGAGCAGTAATAAATTGTGCTAGAAACGGGGTCATCAGTAAACATTACTGAATAACACTGTGAGACTTTATCAAAACAAAATTTATCCATAATGGAATTCCACTGTTTTGTGTTTGACATCATTAACTATATATATTGCATGCAAATTTCGATACAGCTAACATACAGATTTCGGTCAATAAACAAATATCAAAAGTCACCAAATGAGGCGCCTACTTCTCAAATAAACACATGTCACTTTGATGAAATTAGATCTAAAATTGGATCTACCAATTGTCAGTTAAAATAAACAAGTTAAGAGATCTATATTTCCTGGGGGGGGGCGTCTTTTGCTGTGTTTTCTGGGATACAGTCCTCAGTCCCACGCCAAACCTTTAGTCTTTTCCCGAGCTGAGAACCGGCTAGGAAACTAGGGAACTAGTAAAGTAGGCTTTTAGACAAAATTCACTCTGAAGCACTAGAAATGGATCCAGAGACCGTAATGGATATTGCTGACGCCACTACTGATAAAAGCTTGGAAGGAAGGCTATTTTGTCAAACTACAGAAGAACGGCAAATTAGGCCGCTGAGAGATCCGGCACGGAACCATATCCTTAGCTAAACCAGGTCAAGTACTAAGTCGCGTCATCCCGGAAGGAATAAAAGGACTTCAACAGGAACAAGCTGGGTTTAGAACAGTAAATAATGTGAGGATCAAATAGCAACTCGACGCATCACCATCGAACAAAGCACAGAATGGCAGTCAAATCTCGACGTCAAATTCCCCGGAGATGAAGAGGTCTTTGACGGAATTGACCACAAATTAATTTGGAAATTACTTCAACACTATGCAGTGACCTAAATCTTCAACAACAATGTAAATGATTAACAACGAAAAAATCAGCAAAGCCTCTGAAATGAAGACAGGAGTTAGACAAGGCTGCCCACTACTACCAACAATGATATTCCTTATTATTATGGAGTAAATTATGCGTCAGATCTTACTTGGGAGTTGGAAGACAGGAATATATTGGATCGATTAGAATAGTCCAGATCTCGACTTCATGGATGATGTCACATAAATTTGAAGACTTACACATGAAAACCAACAAATCAGAGGAAGAGACTAGCAGCAAAGACAGGACTTTGAATGAACATAGATAAGACAGCGGTGATGAAGATAACCAAACCAACAACAACGAGCACCAATCACTGCCAACGGAAGAAATTCGAAACATGTCACTTCCTTCCCTTATCCGACCAACCAGCATCTTCCCATGGATGAAGATGCCAGAACCAAAATAAGAAAGGCCAGGCAGACATTCATCACCCAGAAATCAGTTTGGAGATCTACTGTATTCAGCATGTAGGCAAAATTTGGATTTTCAACACCGACGTTAAGTTAGTTCTTTGATATGCGTAAGACACTTGACGCGTCACAAAAGCATTCCCAACAGGCTACTACTACTACTACTACTGAAGACTTCGCTGACTCCATATACTGAAGATCAGATGGCTAGAAAGAATTAGACCAAAGGAGAACTCTGGATAGGGACCAACCAAGAACAATATTGAAAACAACGAGTTTGGCCTCCGAGAGTGACATGGAGATAACACGGTATGAGGTAGAGGAGATGGGAGCCTATGGGCAGTCGTGCACAGCCAGCTAAAAAGAGGACTGTACAGAACAGGGTGAAATGCAGATGCTCCACTCGGAACCTAAGGGAATAGTAATAATAATATTTCCTAGTTTGTGAAGAAGATATAGTTGGATTGTACACTAAGAAGTAAGCATTTTTAATATTCATAATCATATACGTATACATAAACATACCTGTACATTTAGTTATTGCACTCTTTGTGACATGCGGACGGAAAATACCCTTCTTAGATTTCGATGCCATAAGGGGTGCAGCAGTACTACTACACACTAAGCGTTCATTTTTATTAGCATTCAAATTCTTATTATTGTTATTATTAATTGGTTCGTTTTGATCAGGATTTGCCGTCAACTGGTTATCCATAGAAGTGAAACATTCAAATCCGATGTGCTTGGTGGGATCCGGCGGTACGCATTGTTTCTTTACATCCGCTTGCCTGTCGACACTCTCTAAATTTATTGATTTATTTGTTTATTGGAAGAAAAAGAAAGTAGATTAAATATTCTGACATCAAAACAAAAAAGAATGAAAATTTCATGTCATGTGAACACCTTCAACTATTTTCGATCAGACAGAAAAGTTTAAATCTACAATGAATCTGTGAATGGGTCAGAGCTGTTAACGAAGAAAAACAGGAATAGAGCTACGCACATACCTTTAATTTGGTGACGTTTACTTGTTAATTCACGCAAATAAGGAAAATATGATACTTCAGTCAGTAGTTGTCTGTCTGTCCGTCTGTTTTCGACATAGAACTTTGCACAGATGTGCACCAGTTCAAGTCTCCACAATCTACTCCATGTAGCACACAAAGCAAGAGAAGAAAGTAGAAGAAATGCATAATAGAGACAGTAAACACAGGTGTGAGACAAAGGAATAGTAATAACGAAGAAGAATATAGTTTCATTTGAAATCATAAGTCACAAGGACTGGATGCATGCATGTGCGCTAGTCACTGAGATGGATTTTGAGCCATATCACCAATTGTCTCCAGCCATTGGTTTTTACCATCCAGAGGACCCCAACCCCAGTCAGGAAGTCTACATCTTCCTGTGTGACTGGCTTAAACTAACTGCTGTGGATATCATTGACTGGTGAAGTCATGTTTTGGTTTGACCGTCGCTAGCTGTTTTCTGGCCTGACCCTATGTCAGCTAACATTGCCCGTAGAGTCAGTAGTTGACATTTGGAAATAATCATTCAACATGATGAGTAATAAGTTAGGTTAGAGACACAGAAATCAGTAAAGCAGAGAAGTCAAAATGAGATGAATTTACAAATCCATACCAATTGAAGTGGTTTGGACGCATACCAAACACTTCAAACCAACACCCTTCTCGATAAATGACGCTAACTGAAGTAGAATTAGGTGGCAAAGGAACATATAGGTGATGGGATGAAAACATGATAGCAACTCAGAAATGTATTGACTGTTAGTATCAGACAATGTAGGCAGGTATAGACTTATCTTAGATGGGTCTTTCAGGTACTAAACTTCGATGGTTAGAAACTCTTGATAGAATGACTGAAATTCATCCCCACCAATAACTGCTGCTGCCTTGACGTGGTGTTAGTCAGACTTGCCATATCACAATGATCCTAAAAGCTACACTGGCCGGAACTAGTGTTCCAAGTGGTCCTACAAGGCCAGAAACATTGTTAGGATAGAGATCAGATTAAAAGCATTTACCAGTATAGTGTAAGACGTTTACACTATACTGGGGGTGATTTGTGGACAGGGTCATACAGCTGGGGAACAGGGATGTAACAACAGTAAGTTGTCTGCCTCCCGTTCCCTTTGAAGAGGCGGAGAGTAGAAACTGTACATCCCGACTAACCCTACGGTGGTGAACAGGCCAGCGGCAACCTCCTCTTATTCAGAAAGAACTCTAAATACCAATTCACACAGACCGTGTGTGTGACTGGCATTAAGCAGTTGTCCCCTGGGTTCTGCGGTCATACAACACTAATATTCCCTTCCAACTACAATGGTGTTTGTAACGGGGAAGTAACAACCACCCATATACCTTCCAAAAGCACGCAAAACTCTTCAGATCTGAGTGAAAGTCATAGATGTAGAGTTATTACTGGTTTTCCTCTACATTCTGTAAGCCTTCAGTAAAAATTCATCCAATTATTCTCTCGCGCCTACATTATTATTATATCCTTTAATTCCTAGTGGAACATAGGGCTTCAGCTGTGCACCTCCATTGCCTTCTGTTTTCTGCCAACTTTTTCACCCCTCTCCAAGTCTGCCCACATGCTTTCATCTCCTCTTCACATCAACTCCTCCAAGTCACCCTTGGACGACCAACTCACCGCTTCCCTTTCGGGTTCCACTCGAGGGCTTGTCTAGTGATGTTACTTGCTGGTTGCCTCAGTGTATGGCCAATTCATCTCCATTTCTTCCTGCCCATTTGTTTTGCAATCGGTTCCTCGCGCGTACACACATTTTCACAAATTATATTTACACTACACTTCTTTTCTCTGCTCTCATGAGTAACTCCCGGAGTAGGGCAATTTTAGAACTAGTTGTCTCACTTTAACACGATGTCAATTAATCGAAATAATAATCGTTCTTCAAATTAAACTACCATTCATTTTAAAAAGTAAACTGCTCACCAGATGAAACAGCATCCAGATATTTTTGTATAAGTTCTTGACCTTGACGTCGAGAATGTGCATTATTTAGAAGTAGATCTCTTTTCGCACTGTCTTGTCGTGAAGGGTCGATTTTCGCAGAGACATGTCTGACGCATGGATTCTTTGGACATGTATCATGTAGGTGTCTTAAACTCTGGGCTTTCGCGTCAGATTTACACGATCGTGCACATGTATTATTATTTGACAATATATTTTCTTGATCTCCGGTAACAAGGCAAAAGCCTGTGATATGAAAGACAGAAAAGACAGAGAAAACTCGTTCAAACAGATAAATTGAAAGACACTTTTTATGCAAATACATAGGATAAAATAACACCCACTGACTGGTTTCAACGCTGAAATTTGCACAGATGTGCAGCAGTTGGAGTTGCCACACTCCCTCCATGTAGCACACAAAGCAGGAGAAGAGAGTAAAAAGAGATTCAAAAGACAGAAAATAAACAGAAGTGTGAAGGAAAAAGAACAGGGATATGGGAAACAACAGTTTTATTGGATATGACAAATAGCAAACAGTGAATGCATCTGCGCCATTCATAACGAGAATTTTGAGTCACATCACCAGTTGTCTCAAATTTTCATTGCATCCTACGATCCCAAGGACACCAACCAGTGAAGCGAACTATACCGGCCTACGTGGCTGGCTCAAACTAACTCTTATGAATTTCATTGACTGATGCCATGTTTTGGCCTGGCCGATAGCTGCTACCTTGACGTGGTGGTCAGGCTTGCACATCGCAATGACCCAACAAGCTGCTTTACTGGCTGGAACCAATGTTCCTGAAGGTCCTAGCGTGCCAGGAAGGTTGTTAGGATAGCGATTAGACCAAAAGCAGTTACCTGATTAGTGTAGGAATTTCTCTACACTGGGGATCTGTGGGCGAAGTCGTACTGCCACTGGGGAACAAGGATGTAACAGTAGTGACGTGTTTCCCTCAGATGACCAACATGCCAGCCACCTATGCTCTCTCCACTCTGGAGAGAAGGGGTCAGAAAAGGTCGACCTCAAAAATAGTACATCCCGACTTACCCTACGATGATCAGTAACCGACGGTAAGTTTACTAATACGGAACCAAACCAAGAAACCAGTTCATACAGGCCGTGTGTGACTGGCCTCAAGCAGTTGTTCCCTGGGCTCTGCGGTCACGCAATACTAACCTTCTCTCTGTTTCAGGTACCCGAAGAGTCAATCAACTTCCACGGTTTGGGCAGCCGGGAAGTAAAAACCGCCCAAACACTTCCAAGATCACACGAAGCCTCCCTGAGCATCATTCTCCTCTACCCACATCAACTTCACTATCTTATTCCCCTGACCACTATTAGCTATTTCTCAACCTTATCCTGTGTCAGCTGACACTGACTGTCGAGGAAGGCGATGGCTAGTGATGCATGCGTAACATATATCCTGGCCACCTCAATCGACGTAGCCACACAACTTCATCGAATGACTTTCCCTCTTCACCCAGCACTTAATGCCTAATCTCAATATGACTCACGCTAATATACCAACTAACGCAGCAGACTATGATGAAAGACAGCTAGCCAGGCTTTTCATGTTTTCCATTTACAATGGTTGTCTCACAGCCATAAACAAGGATAGTGATCTGCTTCTTTGGAGTACACACGTCCTTTGGATGAAAGGCGGATATCAAGTCAACTTTAGAGACGGCGTGGGCTGACAAATCCCAAACGAGCCTTTTTTATCCGTGCTGAGATTTCGTCAGCAAACAGTATGTTGGGGTTGATGCGAATTCCCAAATAAGTGAAGTGGTCAACGTGCTATATTACTTCACTCTCTATCTTTAAGCTGACTGACTTAATATGATTGGCAGTAGTAGTTTTAATATTATAATTTATTCCACTTGGAATCAACCACCCTAGTTTTATGCACTTTTTAAAAATTAAATATTTTAATTTTACTTACCCGGATAGGCAGACGGTGCAGTACCTTCAATAACTTTCCGTATTACCGATGTATTCGACGACTCAACAGCATTATGATCACCATTTATAAATCCATTTAAATTTAATCCATTACTTGGAGGAGACTCCACTTTATCAGCAGTATAATAAGATGTGGAAAAAGAAAGAGTATTACTGACAAAATGAATTTCTGTCGTTCACAAAGCATAACAAAGTGAGAGCAGATATATGCATAGTACTCAATGATAATAACTCCATAGAAAATTTACTAATATACATCTGAAGTTGTCTTTCAGTTCCTTGCAGTATGAATATGCTCAAATCCATGAGCGAAGACTAGTCTTACTCTTACGTATGATAAAGACTTCACACTAAATGTCAAGTAAACAGGCAATTTACCGACTTATAGTCTTAGTTTACAGTTCCCTATTAACTTTTATAAATAACCTGTCCTGTAAGATGGCATTTTTAGTGCAGCATAGCCTTGCTATTATCGATTTCGAGTTTCCAGACAGGAAATACTAAGTCGTTTTCTCCTAGAATAAAAAAAGAAACTAACAATGACTAATCTGTCGACTGGATCTGCAGATATTTGAACGTGCTAAAAAGTTAGTCAGCACTTTTTATAGCCTCTAAGACTGCATTTACGCTAGAAGCGAAATTGGAAGTCTCGAAAATATCTTACAATCTGGCTCATAGTATATGTTTACTTGACCAATCAGGAGGAAACAAAGGAAACTAATTTGTATGTAAACAAACAAAAACATGGCGAACTACTGAAAGTGAATATCCTGGTGCACACCAATCAAGTTAATAACTTCTTACTTACCATCCAAACAGCGTGACTTTTGTTGATTGACAATTTGCTGAATACGTTCCATCAAATCTGGTTAAGGAAAGTATAGTGTATCATAACGTTTTAAAGACAGCTACACATTATCAACAAGAGTCCAAGTTAATACACTTCACATCTGTACACTAGTTGGGTAACAAAAAAAGGGAGTGAAAGGATGCGAATCATATAATCACATGTTATAGAGTGTTACAAAACGAAGAAAGAAAGAATAGAGCAAACAAAGTAGTGACGTAAGATAAAGTTAAGGTATGAATACGTGTGGTTGGTGGAGAGTAAAAACAGTCTACGCCATATGTGATCTGGTCACCCTTAACTTTCTTCCAATATAGCCGTATACCTGTCCACAAAGTAACTAGACATCCATAACACGCTTCCAACCAACTGAAGTGACAGTTCACTTAGACGCAAGAGATCTTTCATGCATTAGGCTGAACCGCACTCATTGTTTAGGGAGTGATAATACTACTCATTTGTCCAAGCTTCAGTAAGTGCAGTGAGACTTGAAATATTAGCTATAAACAGTGCATAAGCCAACGAGCCATATCTCCAAGAATCCAACACCTGGGAAACTTCCGCCTCCACAGACGATACAAAGAACACATTTTGTTAGTCTATATATGATAGGGCTACGTTATTTAGACGAGATTCTATCATGCGGTTTTTTGAAGTGTTTGGCTTGATATTGTCAAAAGAAACGATCCTACCAGTGATGAAGTCCAACCATATGATGTCCGTTTTTCAATCACAGACGTATTAGAGGCCTGTCCATGGACAATCTAGTTGTCTGTACCAGTTTACGGGATATACTCAAGATGTGAACTAAACAATGCTCTTTTATTTAAATCGAAAGATGTTTGGAAGGCTTGAAACGCTATGCCATCTGAAAGTCACGTACTTAGTTTTGTGCAAATGAATAATAAATGGCCATCACCCATAGGATTCATCTAATTTAATACTTTAGAACACCCAAGCAGTGGGTAATTGTATAAGTTCTGTGTGAACCGCTGTTTGCACCCACGAAGGGCGGATAATCAAAAATAATAGGACTAAAGGGAAAGTTAATGGGCGGGAAATAAGCAGATACTAATATAATATGACAATTTAGAAACGAATGCACAAAACGTATAATTCATCACCAAAATGCCAGAATTAGAACCAACTCATGGAAAAGGTATCTTAAAACCCTAACAATATAGGGAAAACTGATTATCCGCGTGGTATGCACCAGAGTACGCTATGCTGCTTTAGTTTCAGAAGTGCATATCACTATGGAGACGCAGTTTTATTATTGGCATTAGGTTAGTACTAGTTCTAAAAGCACGGTTGACTGTTGTTTGTTCAATGCGAAAATGTACATCTGACCCGTAGTCAACAGAAAAATCTTAGATATAAAGGTAAACATCCACACATATTTCATATGCGATGAGAAGAACTAAGATACATTGGGAAAACAAGAGGAAGTATGAAATCAGTCTGTTTCACAAAACATAGTTAATATCCTTCTGTTGCATTTTTCTTATGACCTACATTTTTTGAAACAATATCACCTTAATACTCTAGATCACTGAGTAAAGATAGTTCTGAATGATTTTCAACTAGTAATGACTCGGTGGAAAATTTTTTAATTGCAGATCACAACTAATCACAGTTCACTTGAAACGTTTGTGACCTCAAGTTTACAAAAAACAGCCAATTGGATAATGATAAAAAGGCAACCTGAGCTAACGCCATGTACCCTTAAGAATAATTTCAAAGTATCTAAACCTTTATACATTACTTGGTAGTTTGGGTACTTCACTGACTACCCACTATTGATAAGAAAAGTATCGCCACGTCTTGGTCTTCATAAAATTGGTCAAAAAAGTTAACTCCCTACAATCGAATAGTCCAAGCAACTTACCATCTCCATCATGTGGCATCCGAAAAATGACAAGGTCACGTGCGCCGCGCTTAGTAAACAACCGAAACAATGTAGACAAACGAAGATGAAGGTTGTAGGATGTAACTGAGTCGTCTAATAGTATTCAGTGCTAAGCTTCAGTCTGTTAACGTTTATATATATAAATCAACTAAGTCAGCTAATCGGATGGCAGGACAAAATGCATGATAACTCAGAGAACCCAAATGACAATACTCAACACATCCTTGGGTCCCTACCAACAAAAGTCCCTAACATGTGATAATGTCTGCACTTAAAAGCTTTTCGTTATCCACCAAATGCAGAAAAGTGAATGTCATTTGCTTCTGTTCTTTCTGTATGAGGGATTTCCGTAGGATTGAGACAAGATAGGACCGACACTAATCAGAGTCAAGCTGGCGTTAAGGATGTGGAAACTAATATAGAAGTGCAGTTACTGTAGCGATTCATTCAAGTAAGTAAGCTAACTGGAGCAAAATAAAAGTGCGAAGGTTTCTCATGCTTTCAAAGCATTGTTTTTATTCTTCTATGTTTAGCTATTGTGTGGCGATATACGCAGAAATTATAAGTGGAGTTGTGGCAATTCTGCATGATGTAAAAGCTTAAGGGAATGTTTGGCCAGCCTGATGGCAGCGGCGAAAACACGCTACTCAGAAGAGGTTAAATAGCAGAAGCCTGACAGACGAAATCTTTCTTCCAAAGGAATGTCACCGTATCTGCCGGATAAGAGGAGAAAAGTTCGTACTGTTATACAAGCCATCAAACAGTAGTGACCGTATGGTGAATCACATGGTGGTTTCACCACTTACTAATGTATTATTAGCCTCACTGCAGTGTGGAGTAAATCGAATACCTCTCATCTTGGTACCAGTTGTTCTTCGAATCTCTGCTGATCGTTTCATAACCGGTATATTCCTAAGAAAATTTTTCGTTTGAATTACTACAAAAAGAGGTTGAGACTCACTGATATAACTCAACCTCTTCTCTTGTAATTTATTAATTCATGTATTCTATCTACTCTTTTTTATTTTTCGCCCTTATTCTTCTCTGGACTTCTCAAAAGACTATATCATATTACGTAGAAAATTGAAGACTATAAATAGAGGCACACCTAGGCTCTGTTCGACTTCAAGATAACCGACCAGACAGCTGTGCTATGTATTTCCACACTATCTCCATACTCACTCTTCACTCAATACAAACTGTATTAGAGTTGGTAACTACTCGCATCAGAAAGCTATGTCGACCGTAGCTGCCTTGAAGTCTTGCCAAGATCGGATTACAATACACTCGAAAGAAGGAATTAAACAACTGTGGCACCTAGAGATATTTACGTAGTATAGAAAACGTACAATTAAGGTTTGGACTAGCTATGGAGTAATCATATAGCAATCAGATGCATCTGTTTTAAATGTTTCTGGAGAGCACCCAGTAGCCATTTCGCTTTATGCCTTTGTACACTGGCTACGCGGTGATTTCATATTGAAAATGAAACGTCATATTGCCGTTAATATACATAAGTCACATTGAGTGGTATATAGATTTCATTTTGTGAGTTGCCAGTGGTTGCCAGCAGTAAACGATGAGCTGGTATTGAATTCAGGTAAATAAAACTGTCAGGACTGAAAATATGGAGAGACTTTTTGCATTTGAAAACGTACGCCCGAAAGCAGCCGATAAATCATGATAATGCTCTGGAATAATTGACGCTAGGCAAAGGGGACGTGTAATTAGTAATAATATACTTTATTTCAGAGACAGAAACCAGCCATTTTTACAGGCATAAACACATGTACACTTATTAGAACTTATAGAATATATAATATGATTTGTTAATTTAGATATAAGTTGAATACTGGTAAACGTGAGAGAAACATTTAAAAAGAAATGTACAAATAAGGAAATAGGTAATTTTTGAGGTCTGGTTTCGACCGAATAATTCACAAGATATAGCGTCAAATTTAAACTGTGATTGAAAAAAAATACATGTCAATTTCACGCAAGAATTATAAACGATTGCGTTAATTGGGGAAGGTAGTTAGCATTTCTGTACAGGTGCTGACGTGATACATAAGAGATGCAGAATAAACAATAATTATCAGTAAATGATTGATAAAGTGTTTGAAAGTCTATGAAACTTTAAATTCACCGGTAAGTACACCATATTTGTGATATCTCCGGCTGTATATGAGACCAACTTCAAACTTGTCAGCAGATTTTATAATACCGATGATCCCGTTATTCACCAGATGAGCTAGCAATATCACGAATAAGTAGAGAATTGCAGCGCTGTATCAGTACCTTCGTTGAAGGCAGTACCTTCGAAAAGAGAAGAAGATACAAGAAAACCGGAAGAGAGGTGCAGAAGTATATAATAGGTGTTAATAATTCAAAATATATAACAGACATAGGGGTTCGTCATTTTTTTAATTGATTTTTTCAAGAAATATTATTTCTCTGATATTCTACAGTCTTTTTTAAGAACAATTAGCTTAAGTGAAAGACAGGTGATAATTTCACCTACTTATGAAGGTTGAAAAGGAGTTAAACACAAAAGTCAAAATGCGTGAACTACGTAAAAGAAAAGCGAGTGCCTAAAGATATCTACTGTTTTTCTGAAGTATACAGTCAGGTGTCCTTCTGAAGTAGCGGACTCATACCATTTACTTTCATTCGGGAGTTTGCGTTTAAACTTCGGCTCTAGGCAATTTTCAACTTCTATTTCTTTTTTCATCATTTTTTTAGTTTTTACTTTTTTATTTATTCTCATTTTGCAGAAGCCATTCAAACTCAGGAGCCTTAGCAATAGAGTGCTGTCCCACAGATAAGGGTGGTTCACATATGTCCCAACCATCACATCTGCTGAATAGCCATCGCCACCCCCCCCCACCTTAAGGGTACGAAAAGTATGTTAGTGTGGCTAGGTTTAATGTAAAGATATCATAAATCTGATAGTCTGGCTCGGCATTTGCGAACCACAGTACGTGCTGAAGTCCGAGGACAATGACATTTCGATCAAAGGAGGGGCTGGTGTGAAAGAATATTGAAAACGGTCTAAACATTTGGAGATGGACTTTAGTAGCAATACGTTTTCTATAAACTTAGGGGATTCGAGTAGTCTATTATACACGGATGTAAAAGTGTCTAGATGGCAACATGCTCTGTGGTAACTGTGGTGTTGTGTTTGCTAATACCTTTACAAAGGAGCGACTTGTACTTCCAGGGAATGACCATTAGGCGCAGAGTGCTGTGAAGCACTAGACATATCCGTAATTTCTCAATTAAAATTCAATTTTTTTCCCTTGAGTAATAATTTCGTGCATCTGGACTGATTGAGATCAAAGACAGCACATAGCGGATGATAGAGGTTTCAAGGAACAAGTGCTTGGTTGTTGCGTTGTGTGGTGACTATGAGTACTTATGTTCCGTCAATACCATCATCAAGCAAATAGTTTCCTGAGCGCCAATAAGTATTGTATTTCGTCTTCGACAGTCCTGATAACATTTGGGGCAGTCTGGTAGCCAGGTTAATTTGGGCCAGTCACAGGAATCAGCCAAGGAGCAGGTATAACGGAAGACACAATCATCACTAAAGGGAGCCACTAGCTAGACAAATATATGGTAAAATTGTCTGAGATTCGAATAAATTGGGTAACAAAGATCGTGTCAAAATTGTACGCAAGGGTTTCATAAGCTTGCGTTAAGATATACATGTCATTAGGAAATGACCATCACAAAAATCAACATAAAAGTTGAAACGTCTTCAGTTATTAGTTACACAAAAGACTTCGGACCGCGACCTGACGCACGCAAAGTCCTGCTAACATACATTTACTGGTAGGTATAGGATTTTCATGTGATATTAGTATCATGTGATGTTAGTAGTTGTTAGGATCCAGGTTTCCGTTGATGGATAGATTCCGTGAAGAATGGTATTTCGGTCTTTATTGTATATGAGAGTTATGTGCTGAATGTGAAGAGAGTGCAGTCCATGTGATTTCTACACTCAGCAAATGTAGGAGTTAGCATTGCTGTTTCATTGAGATGATCTATAACTATCATAGGTCATTAACATCAGGACTTGTAGCGAACGCTGGATCAATAAGCGAAACAAAGAAAACGAGTAGCCCCTGGTCGGGTAACAAGTACGGAAAACGAATATCTGGACAATCGCTCATTCTACATCAGAAATAAAGGCTATGGTTTGAGCTCCCCTGCTCAACTGCGTCACGCCATACACATAAGCTGAGGTGGGACATCAGAGTCTCTGGACGCGTATTTGATACAGATACAGTAAAGTTCCTAGGGCATGAGATGGATGGCGAAGAGACAGAGCCAATACCAGAAGGGGCAGGTAAACCAGGGAGTATACACTACATTACTCAGCCAGCCAGGAAATTTTCCGGGATTAATTAAGTTTAGCTGACTCTAAATGTCTAATGGAACAGGCAGTCCTTAAAACAGATACCAAAGAAAAAACCGAAAAACTTTCAGCAGTTAGAAGAGGCAGCAGACACTCACTTGCTCTTGGAAGATGTGTCAACCAACACTACAGTTTTATAATACCTTGAAGCAGATTCAGTACAACACTAGTAACAGAAGAACTCAGTTAGATGCAGAACTAGTTGAGTGTAAACTAGGACCGGCTTCATTAGGGTGGCGTTAGCTGGTCAGTAGATATGGTGGTGGTCACTAAGGTGAATCACCCCCGTCAATCACGTCTCATAAACCGTTAATGCCCAGCTCTCGCTACGCTCGGGCCAACGCTGTTCCTTGAAGTTTTCAGAAACGCTTAGTTATAACGGACGAAAAAACCAAAACACCGATTGGCCGCTTGAGATTTCTTTATTGTTACACCAACATATAAAAATAATAACTGAACTAAGGTCTGTGAACAAATATTACAATAATAAATCATAGTATTACTTCTGACGATGTTTCACTCTTCTTTCTGAACAGCGACCGATGAGACGATGACTGTCGTATTGATGCCTCCGCGAAAATTTTGATTTTGAGCAAACAACCAAGAATTGAT